GTGACAGGAAAGCTAGTATCAGCATTGCTTCTGCCTGGAGCTCGCATGTATGGAGCCTGGGTTTGGTTGAAGATGGCAGTGCTGTTTGGGCTGAGAAAGCCATGTGTAAGTAAGGAGGAAATCCAGGAAGAGGAAGGTTATTTAAGTGTGGGAGTGGCCTATTTGAATCCATTTTGTTTGAGACCATGCTGCAAAGTGAGTGTGTTTGCTGATCCTGTGAGTTCATTTATCTCCTTTAACTTTAGCTTACATTGTAGTTATGCTATGTAGCGTGTGAAATAGAGTATGGTGAATGTGCTAGTAAAGGTAGTATCAGCATTGCTTCTGCCTGGAGCTCGCATAAACGGAGCCTGGGTTTGGTTGAAGGTGGCAGTGCTGTTTGGGCTGAGATCACTGTCTAGCCTCCTGGAGGTGTCATTGTTGTGAGGGTTCGTCTTGGGGAGGTAGACTGTACAGCCTAACCCGGCGGGGGAGTGTGATAGCCTAACAAGGCTTCCTTCCCTGGGTCTGCCTCCTCTGTGGTAGTATAGGTAAGGTAAAGGAGGTTGTTCGGTTAGTGTGGGGAGCAGTGAGAGCTGGCATTAGGGGAGTGTCTCTGGGACGCCAGAGATCACTGTCTAGCCTCCTGGAGGTGTCGTGGGACCAACTAGACGAAACACCGGTGAAAGGAGGTTCCCACCCGATGACCCCAAAGACATGTTAGTTATCACTGCTCACTGGTCTGTATAGTTAAGCCTTGCCATAATAGCTTATCGTAGGGCTTAGGAGGTTATTCACTGAGTGCTGATCCTTTTTTTTTTTTTTTTTTTTTTAGAGCACAAACTTCTTGTGTTTATTTGAATTGTATATACTTAGAACCTATAACAGTATTATTCATTGTAAGTTTGAGAGTGATTGAGGGGATCGTAGTGCAGAGGAGTTGAAGGGTTGGGTTGATGTGGTGATACAGAGTGTGTGTGAGCTGACTGGTTCTATGAGCAACTTTTCTACTTTGTTCTGTTCAACTATTCTATCAGCATCTTTACTTTAATTGACAGCATCTTATTTTTCCATACACTTAAAACATTCATCCATCTATTTTCGTAGCCGTTTGCGAAAGCCTGGGGGGGCCGGAGCCTATCCCAGCTGACATTGGGCATGAGGCAGGGTTCACCCTGGACAGGTCACCAGACTATCACAGGGCTGACACATAGAGACAGACAACCATTCGCGCTCACATTCACACCTACGGACAGTTTAGAGTCACCAATTAACCTGCATGTCTTTGGACTGTGGGAGGAAGCTGGAGTATCTGGAGAAAACCCACGCTGACATGGGAAGAACATGCAAACTCCACACAGAGGGGCTCCCTTCTGGGATCGAACCAGGAACCCTCTTGCTGTGAGCTTACGCTAACCACCACACCACCATGCCGCCCTCCCTTACAACAATTCATTTAAATTTGAATAAATTGCAAAAGCAATAAAGAATGCTGTGCCTCATGATGATGGACCAGAAAAAGACATCCTGTACATCATAAATAGGATGGGACAGGAAGCACATACAGCACACTAGTGGAAACTTCTATTTGTTACGATCTAAAACATTATGTTTTATGGGTCCGGTCCATGAGCCCAGGTCAGAATTTTCACTTATTGGTAATCTAGTTTGGTATCATGAAAAACTTGTTATCTCTAGATGATATTTCAACTTAATTACCCTTCCTATCTGGCAGCTTAGTCACAGATATCAACCTTCAATGACACCACAGTTAAACCAAAGAATGAAAAAGTCAAGGCATGTTTCAAGTTTGGTCTCTTCAAGGTCTCAGCCTGAGTGCTGATGTGCAATTAAATGAAACTATGCTTTATAACCTAATTTAACTGGCTTCAACAAAGGTCACTTCAGGGTATGGGTACCACCTAATCACACCTATACATTCAGAACAGGTCATATCTGATGGTTATATGTGAAAAACATCCTAAAAATCTAATGTTTAGACATAAATTATATGAAAACATCATGTTAAGAAGCAGAGATATGCACTTCATTTTGTGATGCTGTGACAAAATGGCCCCAAATTTTGAGCCCTGAATTTACCTTGATCCACTATGGTATACTTTTAGTACATTATTTGGTTGTCCCAAGAGCAATCCCGTGCATCATGACTCACACAAGGACCAGGCAAAGAAGAATAATTAACATTCATCAATAAATAAATTAGTAAATATAAATAAAAATTCTGTTGAATGTGTAGGCTCGCCAGCCATGTGAAGAAGACAGAGTGAACCAACTATGTGGTTATAAAATAAGGAAAATAAGAAATAAGGTTGCTGTTACAGCATGAAGATGTGGCCTTCTATTGGAGGTTCATTGGTAATAAAAAGTACTCATGGATATCAAACTGATGGGTTTTTATTGCCACAGAGAGTTAGAGGCCCTAACAGAGAGAGGTAAGTAGCCATCTTGGCAGACATTATTAAATTGATCACTGGGCCTCTATTATAATAGACTGGTGCACCACGTCTGGAGGTTGTCTTTGTGAAATAGCATTAGTGAGAAAAATGTCTTTCTCTCCTTCCTTCGGGTCGACCTTGTCTGGAAGGATTTGTGAGGTTCAGTCTGGGATGGCAGCGCTCTCTCTGCTGGTGATCAGCAATTTATTAAGATTCATAATTATTACTGGTGGAAAATACATTTACTAAAATACTTTTTAGTACTTTACTAGTTTTGAGGTACTTCAGTATTTACATTTACTGTGACTTTACGCTTCTACATTCCAGAGACAAATACTGAACGTTTTACTCCACTTCATTTATTTAAAAGCTATAGATACTACTTATATTAAAGGAACAGTTCACCCCCAAATCAAAAATACATATTTTTCCTCTTACCTGTAGTGCTGTTTATCAGTCTAGATTGTTTTGGTGTGAGTTGCTGAGTGTTGGAGATATCGGCCATAAAGATGTCTGCCTTCTCTCCAGTATAATGGAACTAAATGGCACTCAGCTTGTGGTGCTCGAAGCACTTACAAAATACATTTGAAAAACTCAACAGCAATGTGTCTTCACAGAAATCATGACCCAGGTACTCAAGATAATCCACAGACCTTGTTGTGAGCAGTTCCATGTAGGAACTATTTTATTTCCACTGAACAACACCATGCTAGCTCACCTAGCCCCACTGAACTAGCTAATGTTAAAGCTTAGCCTTGGATGACGATATTAATGGTTACATCTTGCGCTATCACCAGCACGAGCCTCATGTCCATGAGTAGATTCATGCTTCCGTCTGTGTTGTGATGCAGTTGCTGGGTGTAGGTCGATAGAAAGAAAACAGTTCCTTCATGAAACTGCTCACAACAAGGTCTGTGGATTATCTTGAGTAACCAGGTCATGATTTCTGGAAAGAGATATTGCTGTTGAGTTTTTCCAATTCATTTTTTTTTCTTTGGCGCTTTGAGCATAACAAGCTGATATTGCCATCTTTTTGCCATCTGCCATCATCTCTTCGGCCAGTATCTCCAACACTGGGCAACTCACACCAAAACAATCAAGCAAAACAGTACAACAACCCACTACTACTTTCTCAAATGGGGGTATGGCTACTTAACGTGCTCCAGGGGGTATGTAAGATTTTTTTTTTTTTTAATGTTAATTTTAAAAATATCAGCCATGTGCAACTCCTAAAATATCTTTACTGTAATAAGTTTTATAAAACTGTAAATGCAAGTTAGATAAACCAGATTTTGTACTCAGTATTCCTACTTCAAGTGCTATCGTTGACTGCAATAAATTGCCACAACAATCACCTTCACATTTACATGTGTTAACTGTGTGTTTCTACCCAAAATGTTTTGTGCTGGTCAAGGGGGACTTAGCATTATTTAAAAAGGTTTGAGAACCACTGCACTACAAATACAACAACCTCCTATACCATTAATCATGTCACAACCCCTCAGATTATCCTGTGATCCTCTGGAGGGGCTTGACCTCTAGTTTGGGAGCCACTGAACTACATATATAAAGTTGTTCTAACAGCTCCACTTTGACCAGCTACTACGAAGTACTTTATGATACAAGGGTTACAGGGTTACATTTTGTGATAATACTTACGTACTTTTACTTTACTAGGCAGGACTTTACTTGTAATTAAGTATTTTTTACCTTGTTGTGACTGGTACTGTGTTGTCTCTTCTATGAAGAGGGCTGACAAACATCATTGAAGAACACCCACTAGATGGAGCTGCTGTAGGCTGGGGCTGTAGGGCGTTTGGTCTCTGTTGGTTTCAGTTTGGCCAGCCTGTGTGACTTGTCAGAATGCAGAAATAGAACTGATAAACACATATAGCAAAACTGTTATAAAAATAGACCACTAGCGGCCAGTCAGTGACTTTGCTCTTGTTGCATTGCTCCACTTCTGATGACATCAGGTCTATTTCACTGTCATGGGGCTTTTTGAGACTTGATTCAAATAAGATAAAGAACTCAAAAAGCTCCCATCATGTTTTTGCCCTACACTTGAATTCAAAGGGCCATACAACGTTAAAAAGTAAACACATATTTAGATCACAGCAAATATTCCCATATTTACTATAAATTTGCACTTGGGACTGAACCAAGTCAAGCGGTCCTGCCCAGCAGGACCTACACGTTGCGTGTTTACACTAAAACAAAATACAACTGTTCTCTTTCCACCACATGTCGCTCCCTTGCTGAATGATTGTTGTTCCACCGAGCCTGCCAGAGGCCGTGCAGCTCACGGTAGCATCAGCCAATGGTGGAATCCCCCAGTGGCGTGTCTGGCCTGGATCCCCTGTGAGGTTACACCACGTTGCCACTGCTACAGCAAACATTTCACCCTGCCACAAAGTCTTGCACATGTGTGGGATTTTACCGTGTTGGTGAACAAGAAGAGAGGCAGTATGATCCGGTGTCAACACCTCACCTGCTTTTGTTGCTGCACGACATAACCAAAACAGTCTACAGTATGATGGCCATCCAAGAAACAAATAACACATCTTTGGCAAAGGAATTTAACTTAATTTTATTAAAATATTGAATAGACAACTTTCTCACCAAGTACACAATAAAACGTTTAACCTCTTGAAAGAGACATCAAAAGACAACAAATACAAATTAGTTTCCAAATCATTTTAAACATTTAAGACAACCGCCAAATGTCCAGCTCGTGATCACCTGGTGAGGACTGATAAGAACGTGTGGCTATCTACAGATCACTTTACTCACGAGGCTCTGAAGCCGACGTGTAGACTGTTGAAACACAACCATTGCTTTTGCTAGAATGTGCAAATTCAATTTTTCCATCATCACTCATGCTCGCTGACAGGCTATAATTCCTCTGAAGAAATGACCCAAAAATAAAGACAATTAAAAGAAGAAAAGAACAAAAGAAGACAACAATTTCCCATGTCTACGCCATTATCATTTAAGACAATGCAAAATCAACTACTGCTGTGCAACTAAATGGACTACATCCAACTGCTTTGTTTGTGATAACAAGAGGAGGTGAATTGTGCGGGATCTTAAGTCCAGGCTTTGTTTCCTCTTAAGGCATGTAAGCTTTAAAAAGTCCTCTTCATCAGAAACCGAGGGCGGCCGGATAGAAGGGTGTGCTTCACATCACAGAATCCAAATCAAGAGAGACACGTCCGTCTGTCTCTTGAGCTTCCTTCAGTGTCCATTAATCGTCATCTTAGGTAGGTGTGCGTGCATGTATTTACAAATTTTACCAAATGCATTGCCACTGTGGAGCCTCTGCATACTTCTTAATACGTGCAGCGATAAGCAAGGCACCACCTGGATGTATCTTATGCCGGCGTCTTCATGTGCACATCCCACTGCGAGCCATCATCGCTCACTCCCTTCCATAGAAAATCTCAGATGCACTTCTCCCTGCACCTCCCTCTCTCCTCTCTTCCTTACATATTCTACTGATTAGCATGGGTTTATGTATGATTGCATGTACATTTTTAGGTCTATGTTTGCATCTGTGTGTAGAGATTTCAGAGCGTACTGAGCATTTGGGCTATTTTGGATATTTCAAAAGAGAAGGATGGGGGGGCGTGTAAGGAGAGGAGGAGGGGCAGTGCTGTCTGGGTGTCTAGAAAACAGGCAGTCTGGTGGAGGTCAGAGTACAGGCATTGATATCCTCAGTGTGAGAGGCTCTGTGCAGGGACGGTTCTGAGGCACTGCGGTTTATCTTAGGTAGGGCATGCTGGAGAAGCTCAATCGAGGACAAGATCTGAAAGAAAAAATGCATCAAAGAGAAAAAATGATTAAACAAAACCATCTTAGTTCAGCTTGAAGTCTTCAATTAGAGAGCAGCTCACCTGCGGGAAGAGCGGCCTCTCATCCTTGGACTTCTTGATGCAGTCAGCCACCAACCTTTTCATGGCTTTGGGGCAGTTCTTGTAGAGCTTACTGAGGTCTGGGGACAAATAGCCTCTTCCCACCATGAAGATTATCTGAAAGGAGAGAGTCACAGGCAGCAGATGAGACTGAGGGACTGTGTGGAGCATTTATAACTTTGAAAATATTTTACAGTCGATTGATCTAAGTTAGTGCGACAGTAAAAGACATCCGATCAATCCCAAATCAGCAGTCCACCTCAGAGATATTTTAGAAATACAGCTGGCGAATCGAAGGTGACAAGCATCTAAAACACTGGAGCTATTGCTGAGGCATGAGTGCATGATGCTGCAGAGATAATGGATGACAGAAGTACTTTGTGTTCTTGCCAGTTCAGCAAGGATCGTAACTACTTATGGGCACACTTTGTGCAGCAATTTTAGCCTACGTCGAATACACAGTAAACTGAACTCAACAAAGAGCCAGACGCGATCCAGACCAGGACTCGTGGCCTGCGGGAGGACGAAAAACCACAGACACACATACGCAAAGCCATGCACCCCTTTTCTCACACACGAACAGGGTTGTGTTACGGCGTCTAAAATTAGGCCAGTGGCTCCAGGACGCCCGCCTCTGTTCCATGGTGGGCTTTAGGCCAGCTCCACAACCCCCTTCAGACAGCAACCCAGTGTCTTTCCACCGCCTCCTGGCCTCGGCTCGCAGCGTGACACAGTCTGGGACCCAGGCGAGGTCCGAAGTTGAGACACTTGTCTGACTCTGGGTTAGGGCCCGATTTTACATGACCGAACCTTACAAGGTAGCAAAAACATGCAACCCAGCTTGACACAAATTGATTTTGATGAACAAAAACAATTACTGAGTGTGTGGAAGACATAGGCCTCATTTCCACCACACAGAACAGTTCAGTTCAGTTCATTACACATTCAAACAGTTATGTTTGCATTTTCTGTTGTCAAAAGTTGCAGGTGGTACTAATAGAACTGCTCTATTCAATCCTGTTTTTCGTCACCCTTCTGTTGAGGTACCTAGCACCCTGATCTGTTACTAAACAGTGAAGCTAGAAACACTGCAGTCTGTTAAGAACCATGACTCTCACTCAAAAAGTACTCTGTGCATATCCCATCAAGTGTGACAGAGTCTAAACAATCCAGACTGTCCTTTTTTGTTCTGAATCATTGGTGAAGAGGACATACAACAAGAACTAGATTAAGCAGAAATGCGGCTATTACATAACAACCCCGCCTACATGTAAGAGTACCATCTGCAGTGGAAACGCAAAACAGGTAGGTAAATGTCGGTACAGATTATGTGCAGGTTTCAAGGGTACTATACTGAAAGAGTTTAGTGGAAACGCCACTATAATGGGTGAGTATCATAACAGCGTCTTTATGTTCCATATAGGGCTTTTCCATTGGCCCTTTTGGCTGTGCCGAGTCAAACCACGCCACATCAATTTGTGTTTCCATTACCAGTTTAAATACAAGTTTTGCCAAGATGTGCCTGAGATGGACCATCTCCAGAGACGGGTCTAAGAGCACCAGAACATCTCCAAGCGGGTTGGTGATGTGAGATGAGCTTCGTCAAAAATACAAAAACTGCTCCTTTTGGAAATTCTAATCATATCACCACATGTGACGTTTCGGGCACCAGCGCTTCATCAGATGACATCACATGTCTGATGAAGGGCTGGTGCCCGAAACATCACATGTGGTGATTCGATTAAAATTTGCAAAAGGAGCAGTTTCTGGTGTGCTGACCTGTTTTTGTATTTAGGAATGACTCAGGGACATGTTTAAATATCCTCCACTGCAGATGCCAAACATTGCAGATAGTTCTTCATGTTCAGCTGAGACCAATCTGGAAATCCATTGGTAAAAAAAAAAAAAAATTCTTCATTTACCTCTGGAGGCACTGCCCGTAGTTTTTCGACTAATGGAAGTGCAGGGGCCTCGGGGATCGCTTACCCCCTTCACTTCCGGCGGTGCCCCCAGTGTTACACTCCTACGTGCAACTCGAACCAAATGGCGGTAAAAACGTTGCCGCTAATGCCCTTTTTTCCTGTCGTGAGTAGTGGAAGGTGTGCTGGTGGATGCACAACGCTTTTAAGTTGTGCTGTTGTCCATGTTTTTCACATTTATGAGACAGCGTTTTGGGCGGAACGGTTGCCTTGCCGTTTCTGTAGGTGCACATTTCCTGGGAACACCTGCACTTCTCGGCCCCGCCCCTTCCACTGTGATTGGCTAAAGCGCAGAGCAAGCCGAGCCAGCACGTGTGTATGTAAAAGAGCTACTTTATGCACTGCTGTACCACCACACTACTGTCACCTGACATTCAGTGTGCCATGTAAATGACGAGACTTTACCTGATCTCTAGTTGCTATCTGGGAGTATGGGAGCTCTCCCGTCATGAGCTCAAAGAGAACAATTCCATAGGAATAGACGTCAGACTGGAAACTGTACGGGTTGTTATCCTGCATCCGGATAACCTCAGGAGCCTGTGGACAATACATGACATTTCATTTTCCCTATTTTATCTGTTCATTGAGCTTCACAGCTTAATAAGTGTCCTAATAAAGTTGTCTCATGAGCTTTAGTGAAATTAAAGTCATGTTACTGACCATCCAGAGAATGGATCCAGAAGGCTGCTCCACCTGATGTGAGCCGCTCCATCTGGCCTTCACTGTTGCCAGACCAAAGTCTCCAATTTTTACTGTTAGTCCTTCATGCAAAAAGATGTCTACGCTGCTGTCAAGGAGTAAAAGCCAAAGCACACTGAGGAAACACAGATCCTGACCAGTCTGAGGAACACGGTGTCACAGTTATCTTTCAAACTACACAAACTTAAAAGAGTTGATAGAAAGGATACTGTTGGACTTCATGTCACGATGGATGATGTTCTTTGCATGCAGATAGCTAAAAACGACAAGAAGGAAATACTGATGACATCTCAGTTGCATCTAATTTGGCAGAATATCAGACATGCTCAATTATTAGGGACTCACTCCATGCCCTGTGCTGTCTGCCTGGCGATGTCTATGAGCTGGATTATCTTAAAGTTTGTCTCCAGGACGTGAATGTGCTTGTAGAGGCTGCTGCCCTCACACCACTGGGTCACAATGGCCAGGTTGTCCTTCGTCATGTAGCCCATGAACAACAGGATGTTGACATGTCGTGTCTTCCTGTGACCAGCGGCAGAGAGGAAGAGGAAATCACCAAAACGAAGATAAGATTGAAGTTTGCAAAGAAGACGACTGCAACTGTCAAAATGGCTGAAAAACCTACTAAAAACCCATTTCTCACCTCAGGACTGCCACTTCATTTCTGAAAGCCTGGAACTGCTCTGGTGTGGGGTCGGTCACCTTTAAAATCTTCACTGCTACATCACCTACGACAAAAACACTCTGCTCAGTTAGCGCTGACTCATAACATCCACTGTGAGGTCATATGAAAAGCTGAGCAACATGCACATTTTCCAGCCCATTTAATGTGCCAGGTAACTTATTTGAAAGTCTTAAGTGAAAGTGTTAGTGGTTACACCTGAATGTGCCCTGCCCCGTCTGAAATGCATTCCTACCATGCCATTTCCCTTTGTACACGGTTCCAAATGAGCCTGAACCGATGCGGGAGTTGAGATACACCTCGCTGGCCTCGATCTCCCAGTAGTAACTCGAGTCCCGCTTGTCCCGGGGCCTCTGGATGAACAGAAATCAAGAAGGTGACACTGATGTGACACACAAACTAAACATTACCAGTAATCATAATTAGCCAGTACTCTGTAGGGCAGATTGCATAACTGCTCTGAGAGTTTTTACTCTTAATGCAACATACAAGCAGGGAGGGAAAGAGGACACATATACACACATACAACACATGAGATAAAGAATCTCTGCGTAAAATGACCAAATCTTAAAAAATGACTTACTGCAACAAGAGTAAATGCCATTTGCTACTTCCACCCCTGCATAAAAGGCAAGACTTTGAACTTACAATTTTATTTTTCTCCTGAGTGTTGAAGGACGGGGCCCTCTCTCGCTGGGCAGGTGCAGGGGCTTTGGGCTGGTGCTGGGTCCAGCCAGTAGGGCTCTGATTGGGGGAACTCCCCGCTTCAGGAATACAAAGAGAAGGAAGCCGTTCAGGATGGAAGACTCTCTGGCTGTGTCTAAAATCATTTATTACTCACTGTACAGGAAATTCTATGTAGAGGGTTATATAACATGTCAGATGCCACTAAATGGGACACAGGCATTCTCTCTAGACATTCAGGCAACACTAGGAAAGGGCAAACATTACTATAAAGTGTACAGTGAATATCAAATGGTTTGGGATGCAACCTTTGTCCCAGTTCTCCCCCTTCAAGCTTCCCATTGTAACAGGCTCACGCTTCAAGAAGGGAGCTATGATAGGGGGACGTTGCATTTGATAACCACGTAGAGTGGAATGGGAAAAAAATGTATAAAGATCAATGACAAAGCTCTGTAGAGTCTTTTTCACATGCAGACGGCTCGCAATAGGCTTACTGCGATAGCTGGTGTTACTGGTGTTACACAATGTTCAGGCATACACCGATTACATTACCTGCCCACTGCAGCTTTGCTTTTTAAAGCTATACTTTGTTGGACAACGAACGCTACAATTACAAACACAAAGAGTCTGCTCCAGTCTGTGCAGCAGCAGAGTTGCAGATTAGTCTAGCAGGAGTCGAATTTCACTTATAAGGAGAGTTCACCATCAAGACGATGGTCAGGGTTTTAGTGCCAAAGCGAAAAGCAAAATTGCCTACATGGCAAAATTTCAGATTTAAACCCAATACTAATGGGGAACTTGATAACGTTGATGAAGGAAAAGGAGTTGATTACATCGCTAAGAAGCTGGAGGTGTGCAACTCCGTCTTGTTCCATTGCTCCGTGCAGTACTACAACACACACTGATCTGCTATCAACACATGCTGAAGATGATTGTTATCTTGTTTTTGCATTTTTGAGGAACAATAGCAGCAGTGCTGATCTCACTGACAGACACAGAGCCTTTCCTGTGACTAGTTCATAATAAAAGTCAACTCTGGTGTTTCACCAGTGGAACGCTTTTAATGTGAAGCTACAGCAGTAGGAAATGTTCGGTTTGCATTAGCAGTAATTTAATACAGCGCTTAATGATGGGTATCTGTTTTTGTAAAGACAAAGAAAAGTCTGCACACTTCAGCTCCCTTTAGGTGCATTTATTCCAACATCCTGGAGTGACGTTTCGGGCCACAGGTGCCGTTCTTCAGACTGAATAATACAGCTGTAGGACGTCACTCCAGGATGTTGGAATAAATGCACCTAAAGAGAGCTTAAGTGTGCAAACTTTTCTTTGTCTTTTCAGTTTAACTCATGTAGTCCAGCACCTTTTTCATTTTTTGGATGTGCGCGGCTGCTCTGTTTGTATTATCTGTTTTTGTAAACAATCTGGTGTAATCAGTAACATCAGTGTTGTCACAAGTTTATTAACCAGTGGGGAAATTCCCTAATTATGATTAGCCCTCAATGTCAGATGCTGTGATGAGTCATTTCCATATTGGAGGGAGAAGGGGGAGGCTGGACAGACAATTTAAAAAGACAGGTCTGAATTTGAACACCTCTTATGTTTCAAAGGAGACCTATGATGCTTTTCTGTATTTTGTGTCTTATATTTAGTGTTACAAAGTCAGACATTCATATCGAAGTGGCTAAAGTTTCAAATAGTAAGGTAAATGTATGTAAAAGTAATCCCTGTGAGCAAAAACCTCAGGCTTCAGACTGTTCTGAATACTCTGTTGTCACAGTGTGCCAGATTTCTTTATATGGTCATCCGCTCCTGGCATAGCCTACACTGCTACATGTAGCTACATGTTAACGTCAGGGACACATGCAATCTTGGTTGCCAATGTTGTTCATTTCTACCCAATTCTGGATCATAGTCCTGCTGGAAAATGTCTGGTTGTGTTAAGAGGCATTCATAGTTTATTTTTCACGGTATAAAGTGCAGCTATTCTCTGCTACAATCGTTCCCTCTTGCAAGTACACTGTTAACGTACATGTAGCAAAATGCTAACATCACGTAAACATCTAAACTTGGTTGCTTATGTTGTTAATTTCTCCCTGATTTCGGATTATATTCCTGCTGGGACATGCAGGGTTGAATTTAGAAGCTTTAACTGGTGATTTTTCTGAATTTGTTTTTTAGAAAGTTGGCTGCAGTGATGGTGTAGTGATGTCGTGATATGAAGATTCGGAAACCCTGACCAATCAGGGGGCTTTTCCAGCAGGGGAGCTTTAAGAGTCAGGCACCTAAACTGAGCCTTTTAAGGCAGAGGATGAATACAGATGCTCCAGCACAGACAGTATGAGGAAAATAAAGTGTTGCTTGAACATTAAAGCATGTAGCTTTAGGTACATGTATGAACCTGAAAGTTTACATGAATACACAGTCTAATAGGGGGACATTTGTGGTGAGGGCGCAGGGAGGAAGTATGTGATGCAGCACAAAAGTACACAACGTGATGCTAATGAAATGCAGAGTGAGCACTTACCCGAGTCATGATCACGCATTGCATCCTACAGAGACAAAAAAAAAAAAGCACACACAAATTTCTGTCAGTGTGCTCATACAGTTAACCACATGCTGTGCTGTCACTCATGGTTTGACTTCAGTTCTTAGATGTGAATGCAGATAGTCTGTTTGCAATGCATGCCATTCAGACCGCACACAGACGCTCCGCTTTCTAACCTTTTCTGGACTCTCGGATGAGGCTTCAACAAAAGACTGGGGGAAGTGCACAATACCTACTTTCCTCTTCAGCCAGAATCTATGGCACCAGGAGCTTGGGGACGTATTCAGGCAGTCTAGCTACTCCCCCAGCAGGGTACACAATACAACAGGCCAGTGGGGACAGGAGGAAAAGGGACACAGTGAAGGACAGTAAGGAAGGAGGATGACAACAGTGGCGTCCAGGTTACTACCTGGACAGAATACAGGGAGAATATTCTACAAAGCATGCAAAACAAGTGAGCTGATTATGCAAGAACATGGGCAGTGAAAAAGCAGAAACTAGAACTGAACAGGGGGGAAGTCAAGTGTCGCACATTTTAAAATCGCTAAAATAAGATGCCATCAGGGGAATTACATAAAACAGGCTCAACCCTGTCCAGGTGGATTACTTAACGCAGAGGTAGAAAAAAGCCAGGCGAAGATAGTTGGAATGCCTGAGATGTACGTAGGCGGGCAAGATCACTCTCAGGCAAGGGATATTTTAGGAGTGGCTTGAACCTACAGGAGTACCCAAGGGGCCCATACGGTGTGTAGTTACCTCGATCATGCTGCTGTCTACAGGCAGGGTAGTGCTAACCATGTGGACGTTGGGCGTGGAAGTGGAGCGCTGCCTCTGGGAGAGCCCGCCGCCTGTGGGCGTGTAAGGCGCGGTGTAGTTGAAGGCATGGGGGGTGGAATATCGGTGGGCTGAGCTGTGGAGGTGAACAAAGATCGAATATTACGACACAGCGGCTATTGTTTGTCTGCAGCACACCACTGACTGTCAAAGGACACACTGAGTTCTGTGACTTCTTTAAAGCTGGCCTGCAATGGGTGTGGTGGTGGTTGATGCAGGGGCTTTCTGGTTTCATTTCTGTCATTTTCTCTCTGACTTTCCTCATCAAAGCATCACCTCTGTATGTTTTGCCACTGATACCACACATGCAAAATCAATGAGAGGCCTACTATGTGGTGAAAACAGAACACAAAGTAAAACTGAAAAATAGCCCTGTGAGGAAGTGGTTATTGGTTAATTTTGTTGTGGCCTTCCTCTTATCCCATTTTTGGCTAGCGTGACACTGCAGAGGTATGTTGCCCTTGATGTTTGCCAAGATCAGTGTTGGCTCAGCTGAAGAGTACAAAGCTCACCAGCCAAATACGTTAATCTGCAAACAATCCAAATGTGAGTCTGACTTGAGATGTTTCCTTTTACAAGCACAGAATCAGATTTTAACAGGTTAAAATAACCAAAAACATGATCAACAACTGTGCCTGATGTCCATAAATAAAACTCTCAGCTTTGAATTTAGTCTGACGTCTTGGTACACCTCCTGTTAATAACTGTAGTGAACTGTAGCCGCTGGTTAAAATGGGGGTATGACGTATGTGAACAGAGATCATATTAAATCACATTTATGACCATGGAGTGCACTCCTCGAGAACAATCCCCCTTCTGGCAATGCAAAACTATGTTTCAAAAGAGTATTTGAGATCACCTCTGCATGGAACAACTTGATACTTTGTGAGCGCTAATTTGGCAGACTCAGAGTGCTTTTTAACCATTTTAAGTGCCCCTGAAACAACAGGCTCTTTTCACGCCTCCCGTTACATCAGCACTTGGACTGGTAAGCCCCCATAAAGCTGAGGACGTCATTAAAAACAGGATTTAATTCAATTCAGATTAAGGCTCTTTACACATTAGGACTGCGTCTGTTTTGCAGTGGAGCATGACCAATAACAGAAAATGACAACGGTCATGCCTACCTAACCTGCCAGTGTCTCTCCACCCCTGTTTACAGTATACTCATTCAGTAGCTCTGTTTTATTATCCTGTAACATACAAGGACTATTTGTTTTTAATTAAAGGCTAACAATATGGGCAGTATGTGTAAATGAACTATGGTAAACCTCCCTCCGTCTTAACAGTGCCCAGATCTCCCTACTCATTTGCCAGCGAAAATCCACCAGATGATGCAATACTAGGGCTGTTGCTTGACCTACAGATTGTGCATCATCATATAGTTGTAGGCCTGCTGCCACAAGGGCTACAAAGAGAGTAGAAGGGGGTTGAGACACAGAGAGAGAGAGAGAGAGAGAGAGAGAGAGAGAGAGCTGCCCCTCTTTCTGTCTCTCAAACTCAGATCAAACAATAAAACTAAGCCGTGCTGAGCAAATATAAACCAAGATTCTGTCACCTCATTGCCTATTTATCACCTAAAATGTTTTCAAAACTTATTTTAGTGCACTGTTCAGCTGTAATATGAGAGTTTGTGAACAGGAAATGGGTGCCTTACTGGTTCCTGTAAAAAACAAGGCTGAAAAAAAAAACCAAAACAAAAAAAAAAAACGAGTTCAAACAGTAAAACTAAGCCGTGCTGAGCAACTATGAACCAAGATTCTGTTAGATTAGATTAGATTACCATTTGACCAGCCGGCCACCATTTTGTTTTTGTTTTCAAAAGGGCAACTCACACTATATCACCCACCAGTTGTAGGTTTTTAACCTCTTGAGAAATAGCAAATACTACAGTCATTATTCTCTGTTCTCACCTGCTCATGTAGCACCAATGTCGAAGGTATTTATATCTTTCTACGGCATAGACAGCCCAGTTTATGAAAAAAACATCTTTCCAGCAGTGAAATACTTCTTTAAAACATTTTCTTATTCTTCCTGCTATGCCAGAGTTTTACAGTCCAAGCAGCACCCTGATTATTTTTTGACCTCATGCGGCTTTGGAGCTTTTTCCCATAAGACGGTACACATTTTGTTTATCTCTTGGACATGCACTAGGATGCACATGAATGCACGTAGGTGATGCGATACAAGTTCCTGCTGCGACACGCCAAAATATGCAGCAATGCACCGGCAGAGATGGGTAAGAAGACAACTGTAAGCAAGTAAATATAAATGTGATACATCTAAAAATGCTTTAAAATGTGTTATGAGGAAGGAAATGCTTTCAACACATTTGTTAGAGCTCAAGGATACACGCAATGTGTTCTCGTGTGTCACACTGAATGTACACTGAATGTAAACAGAACTTTTGTTTGTTTACAGGGCCTGTTTGAAAAAGAAGTCACTTTTCCTTGCTCTGGTTGCAGAATAGGAGGGCTCAGTTCAGCAAGAGCATTTTCACATAGTTTGGGTGTTGTGTATGCACATGCTCTGTTTCCAAAATGCAGTCTTATTTGTACGTATATTATTTGCACCTGAGAATGAGAAGAACTTTATCTTGCAGGCAGTAACTATAACAAGTACAGGTTATATCTAATAATAAAAACACACAGAGGATGGGTTATAGCCATATCAGGCATAAAAACATCCTCACCTTGGAAACCGTGTTAAAGATTCTCTCATTCGCCGGGACGTCAGCGGGGGCAGTGACGGGGCACCGCTCTCACCAGGTGTTGGACACAACCTGGAGATAGAAGAGTGATAGGGAGTGAATCCCTCATAGCAAACAGTGTGCGGGAATGTGTGAGTACTTAGTCAAATAACAGCTGACTGCTAAAGACTACAATGGTTGTCATCTTACGGCTTATCTCGTCACTCCCAATGATATGGATCTTTCAAATATAGCTGACAGACCTGCAGCCCGCATGCAAAATAACACTAATAAGTTCCTACTCTCAGGGTGAGTATGCAAATGTAGGAACTAATCAGGAGACCTATAGTATCAGGAGAACTGGCCTTCCCTGTTCTATTTCAACAGCATTTCTGGTGCACTAAGAATTCAACATCCAATTTGACTAGACTTAAAATTAACTAAAGGGTTACTTCACACCTGCAAATGACAATTTGTCTGTCAACTGCTCACCCTGTGTTATGTTGAATTTGTGAAGAAAACTTAGCATTTCTAGCATGCCTCCAGTGAACAAAGAATCCAAAAACAGAGAAAATTCTTGATTATTTGAAGTCATAGGGGTCCACATTTTACCGCAAAACTCGTATGCTAATGGCGCATTCCAGGCAACCTGTAACTCGTGTTTTTACAACCTTCTACCCGTGCAAGTGCACTCAAACCCGTAACTTGCCACCCCTGAACATGTACCAGATCACTGTACTCCCAGTTACGCTTTTTTGACGTCACACAGCCCTCTAAACCAATTACCTTACTCCTCTAAGCAACAATGGCATCCCCATGGATGCGGTGTTGATGCAGGTGATACAAGGTGAGAAACAGACAAAAAATAACCCTAATGTTAACGCATTATTGGTGCATTATATGGCCCAGAACAGACAGGAGTGGAGATCCTTTGCTGCTGCCCTACATGCCAGCCGGCATAAAGGGCAGTAAGTAAGTAATGCATTATTGGCAGCCACTCTAACAGCTAGTTTCCAGTGCAAGAATACATCAATACAAAATATGTTTCCAAACACACAGATAACATTAAATAAAAAGTATAATAGCATCTGTGACCTTATGCGCTGTTTCTCCTCTTCCGTTTCGCTCAAATGAGGAAGGAACCAGCACCTTTGGCGATAGAAGTGATCATAAACAAACATAAACCCGCACGGTCCGCCTTGTTGCTTTGACAGTTTGGCGTGACTTGCCTGACTTGCCTTGCTTTGAAGTTGTGAGTCGTGACTTGAAGTGGTGACTTTCGGGCTCAGAAACTTGCCTGGAACGCAGCATAAGTACCCCTTAAAAACATTCAATTTACTTGGCAACTGAAAGTGAAACTTATGCTCTCTTAAAAACCAGACCCCGTTAAAAAACAGTAATTTTACCTCAATAAACACCAGAGATATTGGTCTACCGCTGCCTCAATCAGAAAGCTTGTTTGGATTATTGTGTGACATTGGTGTTTTAAAGGGTACGTTTGAATCATCAGTCAATGGTTTGTAAACTGATGTTGCTGCTGGTAAAGGTGGACCCCTACTCATCAAGAGTTTTCTTTGTTTTCGGAGTCTTCGTTCACCATGGAGGCATGCGAGAAAAATGTTTTCTTCCCGAATTCAACATAACACAAGGTGAGTACTGCTATCCAAATGGGCATTTAGCAGAGTGAAGCATTCCTTTAAAGATAAGCTTTCATACAGAGAACAGCTGTAGGACGGTAGCATGTCTGTTGGTTATATTTCTATAACGAATACTTCAGGATGTTCAAAAAGTGTTGTTACAGTAAGTTACTGATGCACTTTTTCCATTATGCTCCCATTTGAAGGTGAAGACACTTACAGCAGTTGTCTGATATTGCTCCAGTCCACACACATTGTGGGCACTTTGGTGCTACAATGCTCATGGAATTTGTAGCCGCAAGTTTGGCAACGGAAACCATTCAAAAGAAACTTCTGGCAAATATCGCAGAACGCTAGTTTCAGATATGTTTTCCGGACCTGAAAACGACAGGAAAAAAATGTACACGTATTCCTTTAGTGGTGAAAGTTTGCAGTGAATGGAGTGTGAGCATATCGTACGATTCTTCAGGCACTTACAAAATTATGCGTCGTCAAGGGAACGTGATCTAAAACCTCAACCAGTAGCTCTTCTCCAATCAGGGAGGTGGAGTCAGTGTTCCAATCCATCCGAAATTTTTTACTGTTAAAGAAATTAACAAAAGGCTTAACATGAAGGGGTGTCAAACCAGGGACAATAATTGCAAGCTCACTTGTTTCTGTGATCTTTCAAACCCACGACAGATTTGAGCTCACCTCCTCTGTCCTGGGTGCAGCCGGAAGACAGCGCAGCACTGAGGCTGCAGACCTCGCACCTTTAACGCTTTAATCAGGCAATTGTGCAGAGTCATACCTGGTCGCACGTTCACCTGAGGGACAAGAGAAAGTATTAATTCCTCCGCTGTTTGCATAAATGTAAGTCGTCCCATATGCCTTGAGGTAACTGTACCCATGCAGCATTCCTGGAAATCTGTATGTCATCTTCTACCTGCGGGAAAAAAACAACTCACCACAGTGCGCTGCTGGTTCGGGAGGTAGACACGAATAGTGCTGCTAGTCTTGGAGTCAGGCATCTTGCTGTCATCTGAGGAGCGACGCTGGCAGGGGAAGCCTTGGACCATAGTCGGGGAGAGGCACGGGCCCTCGAACGCGGAGTCCTTCATTCCGAAGCCGTTGCTCAGGGTCTTCCACGCTCCCTGGAGGTGCTCCATTAGTAAAGCCAAGTGCACTCAATGGTCTGGAAAAAAAGGGTAAACACACAGTGTTAACAGTCCAAATGCTTCAAAGTTCACATCACCAACTATATACTTAATCAATATGACGTTAGTTCTCTTTGTTCTGCGCAAGGTTGGTGGTATGAAAAATTAGAGCTGTAAAAGAATAGTCTGTTCCTCCATCAATCTTTTTTTAGGGTATATAAGTGTTTGAATTTATATTCTTTACACAAACGAGATCTTTGAATTTAACTTTGCAGCTTTGAAAAATTGCTTTCACTTGTTTTCGCTCCATTGAAAAAGCAGCTGATGTCAGTTGCAACAGAGGAGCGCAGCAAAGATAGGTCCGGGTTATGGCATCTCTACACATGATCTCCCCAAGTGGAGCAACCCTTTCTGATGATGGCGTGATAAGGGCCATTTCAGGGTTATGTCAGTGTGTTCCTAGCAAACCCGTCTGACGTGCGACAGGAAACGTAAAGAGTACATGTATGCTCAGACCTGTGTAGTGATCCTGTGTGCTTGTTACTCTCAGCTTAACCCTAAACTAAACAGTATAGTAGTTGTAGTCACAGTAGTTTAAAGAACACCACGTGTGCTTTTTTTTGGCATAAAACCAGCAATTGTTCTTTTCTTTTCATCTGGAAGGGAGCAGCAGAGCAATGTAGACAAACTAATCCACTCAGACCAGGAGAATCTCAGGCCACCGCAGAGGTCAGTCGTGTTATTTACAGTATATGCTTTCAACACACTCTTTTTTTCTGCGCGGTCAGGCAACAGACAAGCACCGAACAGCTTGTAACAGACAGTTAAGGATCACAATCAAAGGTCTAAATAAATAAAGAGAAAGAGGAAAATAAGAAAAACTAAAATAAAGTTTTCAGTCTGTTCATGTCACTTAAATCATTTTTATTGCAGCAAACTTTAGCCGATCTAGTGGACTGAAAAAGCAATTTACTTTATTATTATAGCAGGCTGCCAAAAGTTTAATTTGTATTCGCAATATATAATATAATAAAAAAAAGCGATACTTGGCATCTGTGTATTAACGCAACATCCAGGTAAAATATTGTGACGCTATAATGCAGTGGTTCCCAAATCCAGGTGTGCCGTATTCAACTAGGCCTAAACAAAAAGTTATGAATTTTTAATTTACTGTATCGGTATCTTGCACGCACCCATTTCCTAGTAAAGAGGCAAACTCTACCTCAAAGAATGTGATTTAATCTAATTGAATCTTTTAAAATAAACATCACGGGAACCTATTTGTCACCGTTCGCACGAGGGAATTATAAGTGTGTGACACATCACATTATCTTACATCATCTGACATTATTTCCTGTTTAAATGGGTGTGTTGTTGGTGCTTTGATGTAATTTTAAAGCGCTTCAAATTAGTTCTCATTTTTAGAATTGACATTTCATGAGTAATGGTTGGTTGTCAATTGTTATTTGATAATAGTAAATAAAAACAAATATTCATGGTGTGCTAAGAGTGATAACACACGTTTTAGAGGCTACTGTTCACAGATATATCGCATATATTCAGGTGTGTCTTGAGCAGGGTGTCGTTTCAAGATATAATTTTAGACTGATTTTCGGCATGACGAAAAAACAAGTGACGTCTCCCTTTTTCTGAAGCTGTCATTAAGTCAGAATGTGTGTCCATTCCTCGATTACCTGCTAAGTTATTTATATTCCTTTGAAAAAAACGGCTCTGTGACTATGTGACCCTGTAGAGTGATGTACAAGGACGTATGTGTGGCATGTTATTGTATGTTACTAGAGTCCACCTCCATATTATAAGAAATATGTGCCTTGTATCCATGTATGCCTGCAGAAAATATATATATATGCCATTTACCAAGCCTTTAAAACCAATGAAAACTTGAATTAAGTAAAACAAATTAAACTAATCAAAGTTGTGAATATTGTTTTAACAGGATAATGTGGTGTTGTGTCGGCGTGCTGGGTGCCAATATCCTCAGGTGCTGTGAAACAGGTGTCATAACATTACACATAATTGATGTTATTCAAAGCCTAATTTTTATACAAGTAATATTCATACTGGTTCAAATACACAATTTGATTGTATTTTGCAACTTTGAGCAACAGTTTTGTGTGACAGGAATTAAAGGCCTGTCCAGTATAGGAGCCTGCCCCAAATATAAGCCAGTGATTTGACCAAATAGTAGCCCGGGCCTTTAATTGAAGTTTTACGGTGACTGTTTTATTATAAATCCACTGTATAAAAACCTAGAAGAAAAACAGAAAAGCTGAAGTCCTCTCACCTAAATGTCTTGCCCCTAAAATGATCCTTTACAATATATATATAGTCTTCAGTGTCACTTCTCCTTGCCCCTTATTCTCAGTGTGTATACTTTCACTGTGCAAAGCTGCTCATTACCTCTGCTGTGTCCTACACAAAGACCTGTTCCCACTGAGCAGATGATTTACTGCAGTTAGTGGTTAGCTGTCACAACACACATACCGGTGTGTCAATAGCACAGAAATGCATGATTGTGGAAGACTGTATGTCTTCCACCCTTCCCACCATGCTGCAGGGAGCTGTGTTCAAAACAAGTTGCTGTGATCCATCCATGAAAAGGAAAAGGAGTTTCCACCAGAAATAACTGTGAAGTCCTGGATCACTAGACTTGGATCTGTTCTACATAACAGGTCAGCCTGCATAACACAGCCAGCTTTGCTACTGTGAGCAGTTTCTGTGGCTTTAATGATGCGTTCAAAGTCATAAATGTAGGTGAGATCAATGTCAGCAGGTTAGCATATTTTGGGAAGCTGGCTAAACTTGACTTCTGGACGCCTTCATTTGAGTTCCAGTGAAAAGCAGCTTCCACGGAGCAGAGCCTGCTGCTGTGACCCGTGCGCAGCACTGACACAACTACACAAGCTATTAGTAGCCTACGTGTGTTTTTATAAGGCCTGGTAGATCCAGTTATTGCTGTGAAATTGCCTGTAGGCCCTCAAGAGGCGAAGTCTGTCGTCAAACTTCACTGCACCGCTTCTGCCTTCACCCTCCATTCAAATTTCACTTTTTCAAACGCTGCATGTCGCGGTTCATGAGCCGTACGGAGAAGCAGTTTAACACTTGTGGCTGTTGTTAGCATTTAAAAGCATATTTTGACAAAGAGAGGCGATGCTAAGAGCCTGTAGCCTGTGTGTGCTTACCAAGAGAAGTTAGAAAAGTTGTGCTCCGCCATAACTTCAGGAAAAAGTGGCGTCGGTGACATCATCATATTTGCAACGCATTCAAAGAAAAAGGGAAAAAGTCGGATCCTTGAGTTGTGGCGAATTATCTTGAATCCGGTGAAAGTCGCGACAATGTAAATCGTGAAGGTCACAGGCGGGTGTGCTTTTACGAGCCACCGAATATAATAACGCCAGAGGGGGAAAGTTTTTATCTCCCACTCCGTGCACTCCGTGGTTAAAGCGAAAAAAATCCCTCGGACCCTCAAAGTGACACGACGAGGGATATTCTTTAAATCCCGTGGAGCGCTTTCAAATTAAAACTCCCACAAGTTGCTCGCTGACTGCCTCCGCTTTTCCCGATCAATATTTACGTTGTTGAGGAGAAGGTGAAAAGGTTTGAGTTGGTGTCGTGCGTCCGTCTGACGCCAGTGATTGAAACAGGACCTTGCAGTCATAACAAGAGTCGCAAGCATCACTCACACTGCGCAACTTTAGCACACGTTAAATCCCTCCCACTTTGGGGAAACCGTTGTTTTTGCTTATTAAAAAATCAACTGTATATTCATAAAGTGTTAGGCCATCATAATACAACCATAAACTACATATATACTATATTTAAAGTCATATTCTGCAGCCGCTGCAGCAACCATGACCTCATAGTGGGTATTTTTGTGCACATGCATATCCAATATTGATTCAGTTTTTAACGTGCATTTGTTAAAATATAAGTTGCAGCAGTATCTTTTGAAAAGCACATAAAAATCAGCCCACTACCGGTTTGGAGCGAAGGAGTAATCCATTATGAACTCCATGTGCGCCACCAGCTGGATGTTTGGACACAGTGCAGCATTGGAATTCATTTTGGAGCCTTCCTCATATTCATGACAGTCATTTTATATTTAAATGTGTGCTCAAAAAGACCGTAAAAAGCCACATTGTTTTATGGCATGCAACTAGATAATAAAAAAATCCACCTATTTTAACTGTGGAGATTTTTTTTAACCGGCACAGATGCTTCATTCTTTAGTTTATATGGATTTCAAATGGGTTCAAACATCAAAACACACTTAAACTTGAGCTTTTGTTTGCCAATCACACACCTTCTTTTTTCCCAAACTTGCCCTGACACAGGAAAATTATGAAACCATACCCCTCCACACTCACCATGTGTTCACCATCTCCGTAGCATCCCTGTGAGGGTCCCCTGAGGTACCCCTAATTACAGATGGCTCATAGGTCCTTTCAGCAAACTGGAGTTGACACCATCTGAGAATAAACCAGCTTCATCAACATCCCCCGGTCAATATGCCCTGATGGCTTCAGCATACATTGTTCCCATAAAACAGCAGCACACAATTATAGCCAGTAATCTAAAGCACAAAGCCATGTTATGTTCTAATTTTAGTTTCATGCCACCCCATCTAACTTTACAAGTTGGTCTGCTTGTCAGAAAACGGCATGTTCTGACAGATATTCCTCCTAACAAATAACATAAATGCCAAATACTGGTTCTGTGAAGATGAGGGCAGGGCTTTGTCATTGTGGAGCGTTTTAAGGTGCTCCACCCAACATGCAGCAGCACCACTGTGTTTCAGTCAGAGTGGGATAATATGGTGATATGTATTTTAACCAGTTTAAAGTCATGCATCACAGGTTGTGGTATTTCTCCCCGCTTTGCTTCAGAGGTTGTGAGCGACAGAATGAGGACCACAGGAGATAATAATTGCTACCTAAGAGCTCTGCGAGGAAAGCCACCTTAAAACTGAGATGAATGCATCTTCCCTACTTATTGATCTGACTGAGCACTCAAGCCAGTTAGCTGAGATGCTTGCAGCTCCCATAGATTGTTGTCTCTATCAGTCCACTTGTGTTCAAACTGTGATGCAGCCAAGACTCCTTTAACAAGGAGACACTGTATTAGGATTATACAGTGATAGTCTGAAACACACACACACACACACCACTATTAGACTGTTTTGATTATGGATTGTTTAGGTTTATGTACACTCTCATTCCTGATTCTTTGTTTTCAGGTTTATTACTTTAACTTTGGGGCACTCACAAACAAGAGCGAAGTGAAATAATTTCACTATGTATCAAACAAACCTCTTATTCATTCATGCATTATTCATCAGAAGACTGTAAAATTATAATAACAACCTAATAATTTTAAGAAAAATGATTTTTCTTTATTGCTAAGAATCAAATATTTTGATATAGGGAAGAACAGGGTTTGTCATCACACATTCTACCTTTATTTTAACTCCTCAAAAACTGTATCCTTAATATATTTCTTTTGGATGGACCCGCACTTGTAAAGCACCTTTCTAGTCATCCACGACGAGTCACATTCACCCATTCACACACACTTTATGCCACTTTATAACACACTCACACACTGATGGAACAGCCATCAGGAGCAATTTGGGGTTCAGTATCTCGCTCAAGGATACTTCTACATGCGGAGTAGAGGAGCCGGGGATCGAACCACTGATCCTCCAACCCGCTTTACTTCTGAGCCACAGCTGCCCCCAACTGTGTAATGTGTAATGGAAGCCTAAAATGTCACATAGGAATGGAGTGACCTTACTCTCCTTAAGCTCATTCTGTTCAAAAGAAATGGACTGTCAGATATTTGTCAGTGAAGATTCTCGTCATCCAGGTCATGGTAATCCTAAGCGCTATATCTTAGGCAACTGGACTTGCTTGCATTTCTTGAAGATGTTTTGCCTCTCATCCAAGAAGCTTCTTCAATTCGTCAAATGGGACCAGGGGTGAATGGGTGTGAAGTCATCTGGGGAGTCTTGGGATCCCTCCCCAGAAGTGACAAACCAAACCCAGTTTGAGTTTTGCAATCTCACTGTTAGATGCCACTAAATCTAACACCAATGTTTCCTAACTAGTGGGTCGCGGTCCAAAAGTGGGTTGAGGACCTATTCTGAATTGCAAGTGTGAGATGATGACATCACTCCAGTTTTAGCCTCTTTACACTAGCTCCCAGTGTGTTTTAGACTAGGTTTTAAGATTTTACTGATTACATTTAAGGCTCTTCATAGTCTCCCTCCCGGTTATATCACTAACCTGTTAGTGCCGTACACGCCTGGCTGTACTTTGAAGTCCTCGGGGAGAGGTCTTTTGTCTGTTCCAGAGGTCTGCCTGAAAAGTAAAGTTTGCTGTCAGGGCCCCGAGGCTGTGGAACAATCTGCCTGAGGAAATCAGGTCAGCCGAGTCATTGATCTCTTCTAAGTCCCTTCTTAAAACATACTTTGATCAGAGGGCCTTTCCTGATTTCACTCATACTACTTGAGTTTAAAGTTCATTCACACCGGGAGTGTCAAACTCATTTTAGTTCACAGGCTACATACAGTCTGATTTCATCACAGGTGGGCTGGACCAGTAAAACCACTGCATTACATCTTACAAATTAACACCTCCAAAATGTTCCCATTTTTTTGTTTAAAGGAGTACATCTTAAAAAAGCTAATCCATTTACAAAACAGATGACAAACAGCCTGTGATGTCTTCAGAGGAATAAATGCAGTTTCAACAATATTTCTCAGTTGTTCAACGTTCAATTAGTAGACTACTCACTGTCATTACATATGCTTTTTTCCATACATTCCCACTCCTGTGTAGTATTACACATATGTCATTTCAAAATATAAAAATTATTATTAATAATAATAATATTATTATTCTTAGTTGTAGGAGTAGAAGTATCACTTGTAGTATCAATAGTATTTCTATTCTATTCTATTCTATTATATGATATTATATTATATAAAAATATAGTGTAAGTAGAGTATATTTCTATTGTTAAAGACATTTCCTAATGTTGGTCATTTTAAGTGGGGAAAAACAAGAGCAGTCGGTTTAGGGAAAAGGGCCATTCCGTGTCTGTGATTGGCTGATTCATAGAGGCGGTGTCCAGATATCCCCGTCTTTGATTGGCTGCTTTCAGAGTATGTGGCCAATGACTGCGCAGGTTTTTACTGGATACTGTGAATGACAATTCAGGAACTCCTAATCACACCGCATGTAGCGCAAAGAAGGAGGCGTAAACACTGACAGAGCTAAGTAACGGTAGCCAGCGAGGTAAGCAATAAAACAGCACTTTAATCCATGTAATCAGTTCACTGTGTATATGTGCAAACTTTAAAACTCTACCGTGTGAACGCGATTGTGGCGGAAAATTTGACGTTTGGTCGGTTTTCTTGAGTAAAAAACGCTCTGGTTTGCTTTGGTGTAACGGAGCATCGGGTGCTCAGTCCGGCCTGCTAACAGTAGCTCGTCACAACGACTTTAGTGTGTGCGCCCTGCGCGGGAAATTTTGTTTTAACGGTATATCCGCTTTAATACCCGTCGGAAAGCATTTACGGTAAACATCTACCACCATAGGCGTCCGATCGTCACTTTCCCACGGGAGAAAGAGCACCGATCGTCGACTGAACCGTGCTTCTTGGTCGTGATCGTGAGGCGGTGTGCTAACGTGCTAGCCAGCAGCGCCTGTGTCTCGCGAGCACGCAGAAAAATCAACGTGACTAGGCCAACGTTAGCGTAGCTCCAACCTTTGGCATTTGATTCTGTTTTAGCTCGGAATCACGCTGTGTGGTGTGCTTACGTGGAGTTACACGGTCAGTAGATAATTTTAAAAGGCGACGTGTGTTATGTGTAATTTTAATTTGACTGCTAGCTAGCTATTTTAGCATATGTTCCCCACAGCACGATGTGGTGGGACTGCCCTCTGGAGCTAACGTTAGCCGTCCAACTTAGCATACAACCCACGGCATGCGCTCATGGCCATTTCTGTAGTAACGTCAGTCCGTGGCGTGTAGCACCATGTTGGACTAAATTGTCGACGATAATTAAAACTCAACTAACCAGAAGAGTCGAGATAGTTTGTAGCTTTATTAAAAACATTTCAGCAACTATTAAGTGAAACAGTATTATGTAAGCCCAATGTGAGGCCCAGCGTGCATTTCGATGACCCGTTACAAGCAACAAGTTAGCCTGTGCAGTCTTTGACCAAGGTAATATAACCCCAGCTGTCACGTTTTGTTATCCCACGTCGACTTCTGGGTTCTTTTTGGGACGAGCTTGATTATTCATTAACTCACGTTCTTCCTGACTTGATGTCTTTAGCACCGTCAGCAAAAAGAAGTTTGGCCTATGGCGATCACAACATGATTCCATTGACGAGAGCGTGTAAGTTAGCTTAGTAGGTAGTTGTAGTCTGATGGCCAATTATGATAGTCTACGCATCTGAAAAATGCAACCCCCTTCTGTTTGACCGTAGATTAGATCCCCCACCTGGTAGTCCTGATGCTAGACTGACTCCTGCAGTACTGGTCTGTGAGTTGTAAGTGTCCTGTCATCTGACTCGGAAACAATATTTTTCTGAGTTTGCATTGGTTTCGACAAGCCTGCAAAAGCTATTTAATTATGTCCATGTGTACACTGGCTGCACTGTTAAAAAAAAAAAAAATCCCCATCATCTGTAACAGCTGTCCATCTGCCAGTCTCAGCCTGTGTAAATGGCTGCAGTGGCTAAAATGTAAGATTTATTGACACCGGGCACTCACACCACATACGACAAATTGCACAATATGTGTGTTTTAGAGCTTAAGTGCATTGTCACTGAGTGTGTTTGTAAATAGTCTAAACAGATTTAACCTCAAGCCATAAGAGTAATGTGCTATGCTAATGCTTTTAGGTTCACTAAGCAGCTTAATCGTTCAAAAGGCCTCGTTCTGGGCTTCATCTGAGCCAGAAAGTAGAAAATATAAACAATATAAAGCTGCATCCATGTCCTCTCAATTATTCCCTGTGACATGCATGATTAAAATGTACAGATGCAGCACTGGTTAACATAATATTTAAAATTTTCTAGTGGAAAATTTAAACATTTGTGGTGTGAAAGCCTGGTCAGATGGACAGCCAAATAAAAACAGTTAACTGCATCCAGTGTAGACAGTGGGTGAGTTGGAAAAAAATGCATGTAAAGATAATATTTTAAACTGAATTTAACTGATATGTGTCCTGTTTTTCTTTAGGTAATGGATGGTTGCAGCAACAATGAGTGTTTTGGATGCGGCCGCCCGGGGCATTGGTTGAAGAACTGCCCTTCCAGCGGTTCACGTGGACGCGGCAGGGGTCGGGGACGAGGCAAGGGTACTATCTATTATCCAGGCCACACCCAATACAGGAGAAATATCACAACAACCTGACTAACATGTTGTTTTTTCTCTAAACCTAACATACTCTGTGTTACTACCTTGTAGCTGTCGTGTTGGGTTTCAGATGGGTCTCAGCATTCCCAGTAGAACATATTAATTTGAGTAGAATCTCTTGGGGAAATGAGGCCGTAAATTACAACCTTGTCTTCCTTTCTTCTGTGCATACTAATGTGGGTGTCTTTACAGAGTTGTTCTGTTATCGGTGTGGAGACCAAGGACACATGGCCAGGGACTGTGACCAAACTGAGGATGGTGTGCATTGTGGTTCTATTTCTTCCAATTCAGTTAGGTCTGGGCAACAAAGAAAAAAATGAATCATCTCAATTTATTGTTTACTTTATTGATACTTTAACTAAATATTTACACAGTGAGAGTTTTGGTAAATAATCATAAGTAATCAGGATATAATGACTAAGTGGTTAAAGGCAAAGAAAATTACATTATTTACCTGTATCTCAGCCTTTGAAATCAGGGAAAAACAACACGTGTGATAGCCAAAATCTGAGACGATATCCAGCCTCATATATAATACAGTATGATATTGATATATTGCACAGCTCTACCCTTAATATTGTATCTATTGGAGGTGTCAAAAATATCAATTTATTGATACATACAGGTTCTGAGTATTTGCAACTGTAGTAATACTCATTTTTGACACTTTCTTAGTCTTTCTTGCCCAGTTTCAGTTTATTCGTAACAAACTTCTTTTGAAATAGTAATTTGTTTTTGTCTTCTTTTTTGTCCCTGGTTCAGCGTGCTACAACTGCCACAGGAGTGGCCACATTTCCCGGGACTGCAAGGAGCCCAAAAAGGAGAGGGAGCAGCTGTGCTACACCTGCGGCAAAGCTGGCCACATGGCCCGCGACTGTGAGCATGCCAACGAGCAGAAGTGCTACTCTTGCGGTGGGTTCGGTCACATCCAAAAACTGTGCGATAAGGTGAAATGTTACAGGTGAGTGCGGTCTTCACAGCACTGCATTAGACTTGTTCTCATTCACTCATGTTCACTTGAATGTAAGTTGTCTCTAACTTAAACTCATGTCTCCTTTAGGTGTGGCGAAATTGGTCACGTTGCTGTGCAGTGCAGTAAAGCCAGCGACACTAACTGCTACAACTGTGGAAAGGCAGGCCACTTGGCAAAAGATTGCACCGTTGAAGGCAGCGCATAATCAGTGCCCTCTGTTGCCCCTCCTTTTTTTCAGATTGATGGTTGGTTGTATTATTTTCTCTGAATCCTCTTCACTGGCCAAAGGTTGGCTAACAGAGGCTAGTCCCAGGCCAGTGAGCCTCTCGACATGTAATACAATGAAAGGGGTGAAAAAAATATCTTTCTGCATTCAATACAAAAATGTTTTAGTTTGGTAGCGGTGTTATGTATAATGCTATGTTAAAGAACCCCCCTTTCCAAGCCACTGGTGATCAGAGATGAATAAATGGGACTGAACATATGGGAAACTATAGGACCTCTGAACTTGTGGAAGTGAGCCTCAGTAAAATGAGATAGAAGAAGGGAGTAAATGGAAACCGAACTTCCATGTATGGTTATTTTGGTTTGTTTTAGTGGGATATGAGTTGGCCAAGAGAGTATGACATGGAAACAGTTCATAACATGATGCATTTCAGCCCTACAAGCAGCTAAGTGGGCGATAACAAACTACATGTTATATTGCTGACATATAAAAAAATTTTTTTGGCGGTATTAAAAGAAACATGTTCTTTTATAGAAATCTGTTTACAATTTAAATATCACGTGGTAGTCCAAGGTAGATTTTTCCTTTCAAAATGGCTTTGGATTTTTTTTTTCTCTTTTTGTTTTCTGTTTTTTACCTTGGCAGAAAATTTAACATCAAGAACAGTTGTCAGAACAGCAGAATTAGGAGTTATTTGGGAATGAAAAAAAGTTTTCACAGAAATCAAAATGTTATTTTTGTACAATATCACTTAGACTACTGTATAAATACCATTTGCTTGTACTCAGTTTTTAAGTCGGAAGGAAAGTGCAACTGAAGTCCTAGAAAATAGAAATGTAATTTTAAACTATCAATAAAGTTGGAGGCGCACGGGGAGGACCTGTTGTCTGATGTCTTGTTTTCTGAAATGCCTTTTGCACGTGTGTCCATTCTCAAGTTAAAGCCTGCTGCATACTCAACTCATGACTCTATAAAAACAATTTACATCTTCAAATAGGCTTACATGCAACATGATCTGATGTATAAACACAACCTGATCTGCGGTTTAACAGTACACAAAGCAGACTTCTCCATTTTGTCCTTTACATCTGCAGCATTAGATCACAACACATTTGTGCAACCATTCTCCTGTTAAAAGGGAGCTTTCATTTGCAGAGCATATAAGGTTAAAACTGGAATGAAGATCCTGGTGTCTCATCAGTGGGTCAGATTTCCCTGTCAAATTTCTCCTGGTTCTCTGCAGTAAATTTAGCCACCCTGAGGCGCATCTAGGACGCCAGGGCAGGCTGCTGTGCGTGACATCATGCATGTGCTGCTGCGTCCTGGAGGTGAAGTCGGGGAGTAAAATGGAGAATTGGGATCTTGGGGATCAGAAGTCCCGATGTTGTGCCTCACATTGCAAATAAAAATCATGGGATATATGTTAAGGGATGGGTGCAGATGACTGATCAATGAGCGCGCGTGTTTGCGCAGCCCCTCTCCACGTTATCCACCAAGCTGCCCGCGCGTGCAAGAAATGGAAAAGCTCCACCTCGGTGTCTAAAATGGCAGCGGGGGTTGCAGTGAAGATGCAGCTCTACGTCTCCTTCCGGCCGAGATGCAGCAAGAGACCCTCCTACTCCTCATATGACGTCATCGGGTCTCGCCCAGTCAGATTATAGCTGAGAAAACATCTGAGGAAGAAAAAATAAAACAACAAGCCGATCAGCCAGCGCGGCCGGACCGAGCCGGCTCTAGCTCCAGCTCCATGCCGGGTCCATTTGAGTTTTATTCTTTTCTCTTTTAAAAACCCGGTGCTAAACAAAGGAGATGAGGGGACTCCTGACGTTTTACCGGGGCCTGTGTACCCTGAGTAACCGCCAAGCCAGACGCAGAGCTGGGATTGTCGGTTCTCGGTGCGGGCTTTGCGGAACTCAGTCAAACAGCAAGGTACGGTTCGAGCTGTTGCTGCTCCTCGGCTCCCTTAGGCAAACAATATGTTGTTGACCTGTAGTTGTTTTTGAGATTTTTTTTTTTAAATTGCAGTGTGTCAAATCGATGTTGCATCCAGGATTGCATGCAACTTTGTCAGATGTGGACGCACTGCTGCTGCTGGCGGGGATGAAACAACAGGGGGGATCTGACATCAGGGAGAACAGCAGATGTAGCTTACTGTGTGTTTTCCCTGGTGAGAAAAACAACCGCGGATACACTGTGTTCCCAGTTTGATGGGTTTTTTTCAGCCCCATTTGTAACTCGCAAAAACAGCGAGAAAAAGACGCGTTTACACATCTGTATGGGTAGATACAAGATTATGTGTAGTGTGCTAACAGTGTGAGCAAATACACCAATGTGCTGCTCCTGTGTCACCATAAGATTCCCAGTATGTTGCCTACATAATAAAGGGCCCATATGATGTCATAGCCTGCTCTAGAGTCAGCCCTGTCCTTAGTATGGTGTAAGAAACACACTATGATGTGTGCAAACAATAGTCTCAGACATTATTCATACTGCAAAGTAAATTTAAGTAAACTGATGTGGCATTTTCTAGAAAAAAGAAGACTTTGATTTGTGTTCATGTTGTCACATTAAAGGTCCAGTGTGTAGGATTTAGCGGCATCTTGCGGTGAGGTCATTCTTCTGCAGTGATGTGGGCACTATGCCGGACTGTTGTGAGGTGAAGAGGGAGGCGAAGCTTTCGATTTACTGGTCCATCTATGTCCCAATCCTCACCTATGGGCATGAGCTCTGTGTAGTGACCGAAAGAATGAGGTCGCAGATACAAGAGACCAAAATGATTTTCCTCCATCGGGTGGTTGGGCTCAGCCTTAAGCAGCCTTCAGACCAAAGATTCCCCTTCCAGGTAACTTGTAACGATGGGCACCCATTTGCAACTTGGTGGCCTTGCAACGTCTTGCAACAGTACACTTAGCTTGATATGGTTCTTATTACAGGCTTAAGTGCTGTCTTGTCATACCTTGACAGTTTTGACGACTGCGTCTATCGTCGTCATCAGAAGCGTCACATGGTGATGTGTCCTTTATCCAGGTTGTCATTCCACCACTCAAGTGGAATGACGGTGCCCCCTGGCGCCAGGTGCCAGGGGGCACCATCATTCCGGGGGTTCCCTGCTATCCAACAGCCCATCAGGTGACAGTACAGTACAGTTCACACCGAGGCACTGAACTGTGACTGGCTCTCGTAAACCGCTGTCGTTCTACAGCAACAGGTACGTTGCGATGTAACGTAAATCTGAACAGCACAAACCCCAGAGGGCACATGGATGCATCAGCAGAGTATTAACTGTTCTTGTACGTGACTGTCTGTGGTTAGATACCCTAACGTTACCTTTTGTCAGCGCTGTATTGCATTGTTTGACTGTGACAGTGATTCTGCTGTGGCTTTAGCATCATTAATAGCTGTGCTGTGCCATGTTTACTACTGTGTGTTTGCAACAGCCACAGCGTGAAAAGAAAGCACGAGCTTTCCGCTGATTGGTTACAAGGTTCGAGACGGTCTGCAACGCATTGCCCGCGATTGAACAGGTTGAATCCCTGGCAACCGCATGAGCCAACCTGAGCCGACATGCAACTGAGTCGTTCAGACCACTGCAAATTTTCTCTGCAATATCTTAAAACGGTTTTGTCACGTCTGGCATCTTTGGTCCGAACCGGCCTTTAGAGATAGGGTGAGGAGCTCGGACATCCAGAGGGTGCTCAGAGTAGAGCTGCTGCTCCTTCGGGTCAGTTGAGGTGGTTCAGGCATCTGATCAGGATCTTCCTGAGCGCCTCCCGTTGGAGGTGTTTCAGGTATGTCCCTCTGGTAGGAGGCCCTGGGGCAGACCCAGAACACGCTGGAGAGATTACATATCTCATCTGGCCTGGGAACACCTGGGGTGCCTTGCTTGGCATGCTGCCCACGCGACCCGGCCCTGGATAAGCAAATGAAAATAGTTGGATGGATATGATGATCTTTAGAATAGACTATATTGTTTAAGATTAGGCCAGTAGTTCTCAACCTTTTTTTGGCTTGTGACCCCCCTCAAAAGTCAGTGTCTAGTTGGGTCCCCTTGCCATATTTCAGATGTCTATAAGCTGTTAGCAGAAAAGGACTCCCTCAGTGTGTAGATGTACTAGTAAACAGCTTATTCTAAGGTTACAAAAAAACAAAACAATTTTTTGTTTCAGGTGATTAAAACATAATTAAAACATAATCATGACCGTAGTTGTGTATACTTCTTTGGATGCCCCTAAGTCCTACACACTACATTGACCGGGCATGTCGCCTTTCAGTCACCCTCCTTTATCCGCATAGTGTTGCTTATATTTCTGCCTGTAAAAGAAAACAAAACCTCCGCCTGCAGTTTGGCTGATTAACCTGTATCTGTCCTTCCCTTTTGCAGCAACAGCCAAGATTCGGACTGCTGTTTGACATTGACGGCGTGCTCATCCGTGGAAGGTTGCCAATCCCTGCTGCAAAAAAGGCGTTCGAGAAGTTGATCGACTCTCAGGGACAATTTGTGGTGCCCGTCGTTTTCGTCACAAATGCAGGGAATTGCCTCCGACAAACAAAAGCAGACCAACTCTCTCACATCCTGGGAGTACCTGTGAGTCACCGAGCTGTTGAGAACAAATTGCTGTCGCAGCTTTATGACTGTTCTTCGCAGATTCAATATGACTCAGAGACAAAACTGCACTTCTTTTTAGGATTAATCTGGCGTCCCCTGGTATCTCTGCTATTAACCTCTGCTAACACTCACTCTATTTCCAGATTACACAAGATCAAGTCATCATGTCCCATAGTCCCCTGAGGATGTGTAAGAAGTTTCATGATAAGTGTGTGCTCGTCTCAGGACAGGGACCGGTCTTGGAAATTGCTAAAAAGTATCCTTGAATCTTGTTTCGGGGTTTTCTGTTTGCATCCATTTGAATTAGGTTTGCATACTTCTCTTCATTTGGCCTTAACAGTCTGTCTTTAGTGTTGGCTTTAAGAATGTCGTCAGTGTTGATATGCTGAGGGAATCGTTCCCATTGCTGGACATGGTGGATCACAACAGGAGACCCACAATGCCGGTGAGACATTGAAATCTGGTGCAGAAATTGGATGTCAATAACAGAACATCACACTGTTATTTAGTCATACACAGCAGCACATGTTTAGTTTCTCCTCTTTCATTATAGTCCACACCTGTCGGAAACCTCCCTAAGATTGAAGGTGAGAACATGTACTGTCTTATCTGCTGCCAGTTATTTACTGATAGAGCAGAGATTTTGTGTTAATCTTTTAATTCCGCACACAGCCGTGGTTCTGTTCGGGGAGCCGATTCGATGGGAGACCAACCTGCAGCTGATAATTGACACTTTGTTGACCAACGGTAACCTCAACGGCGTTCACCAAACCCAAAAGACGCCTCACCTCCCCCTGCTGGCCTGCAACGTGGACCTAATGTGGATGGCTGAGGCACATTCTCCACGGTAACCACAAACGGCGTTTAATGGTATACTGTGCAGGATTCTTGGTTACTGTTTGCATCGTCACACCACACCATTGTCAGAAAAAGTGAGAGTAAAAGCCAACCCCAGATTTGCCCTCGTTTGGTGTTATGCTTCTCTATATTTGCTTTTTTTTTAGTGCTGTTTCTCTTGGATGCATGCTGCTTATGGTCTGGCACCTGGATGTTACCTTTTTCTAAAGTTAGGACCTTACCTGAGCGCTGTGAGTGTACACAGCCGTAAACATCCTGAACACAGAAACTAAGAAGAAAATAAGAAAATACAGGCACAGGGCAGAGTCCCTGCAGAAAAATACACCGCCACAAACCTCTAGTGGGTCATAAGTGTTGACTGAGAGGGAAAATCCTGCATAGTATACTTTTAACATCAGCAACTGACACAGCATATTTCAGGCTGCTGAACGTAAATATGTCCTTTCGTCTTCTATAATCTCCCTTGGCTCAGGTTTGGCCATGGGACCTTTCTTGTGTGCCTAGAGAACATCTATAAGAAGATCACAGGTAAAGATCTGAAGTATGAGGCGCTCTTGGGAAAACCCAGCGAGCCGACCTACCATTTTGCAGAGTACCTCATCAGAAGCCAGGCCATGCAGAGGCAGTGGAAACTTCCCATCACTTCCCTTTATGCTATAGGGTAAGACACCAAGCTTTGTCTCTGTATTGTGAATGTAACGTATGGAATAAACTAAGGAAGCGATGAGACCACTGTGATCAGAATTCCTTTTGACGCAGTGTGGCGACAACACGCATGTTATAAAACAGAGAGCAGGAGCAGGTGCTGCACACACAAACTGAGTAAACCCCGCCTGACTTTTATGTGGCAGTCACTGGAAGTGCGTGTGCTCACATTTTATCTTGTGATCTTAGCACACTGAGGCTAAGGCATTGCTCAATGATACGGTGGGAAACAAATGAAAATGCAGAACTCTGCTCTTTCAACTGCCCGCAAGTGTGTCAGTAAACACATCCCACCGTCAGAACGTGCATGTTTCACTTCAACTTTTTTATCACGATTGTTGCTGCTGTATGAGTAAGCCCTTTTACCATTTAATCAGTAGAGCTGACTAGTAGGAATTTAGTTTTCACCAGTGGAAATGACAGCAACAGTTTAAATTAATTTAAGATATCTGGAAAAATTGTGACATGTTACAAATACATTTTCACGTGTAGAAATTACATTTTGAGTAGTCAAAACTGATTTATAGATATCTTTAATTTAATTATAGAAATCAGTAATTCCCTTTTCCCTAGTAAGAATAACAGTTACAGATTTACAACTGAATTACCACGTGTCGAAAAAGGATTTGGACTAGTGGAAATGTAACTTCTAGGGCTGTCAAAGTTAACACATTAATAACAAGTTAACGCAAATTCCTTTTAATGCCACTCATTTTTTTTGAAGCGCAATTAACGCGCATACCTTCTGTAATTATAACCCGAGGCCCACCTGATAGTTTGGGAAATCAGGAAGTGATGCAGCAGTTAAGTTACAGATGGCAAGCAGAAACAAACTTCCGTGACCAGAAATGGCTACAGAAAAGCATCTTTTGAAGTTCGGCTTCACGGCCAACGTTTACCATCGATTTCTATTCTAAATCAATGACAGATATCTATATTTCAGTTTTGATATGTTGAAACTAGTCAGTTAGAGTTGAATAGGCTGTGGCTCAGAGGTAGAGTGAGTCATGTGCGAATGGGAAGATTGGCGGTTTGATCCCCGGCTCTTCCAGTCCTTATGTTGAAGTATCCTTGGGCAAGATACTGAACCCCAAATTGCTCCCAATAGCTGTTCCATTAGTGTGTGAGAGTGTGTGAATGGTTACTGAGTATGGTAGCCTCGGCCACCAGTGTGTGACTGTGTGTGTGAACGGGTGATTGTGATGTAGTTTAAAAGCACTTTGAGTGGTCAGAAGACTAGAAAGGTAAGAATTCTAACTCGTCCAAAACTGATATCTACAATTGCTATTACCGTGACTGATTGAATGTTAAAAGGGCTTGTCATAGCTTCTGTGTTGGCATAGCAGTTGCTTTAATTGGTCCTTGGTTGATGGCGTAGAATAGAGCAGCAGATAGTAAACACATTTTTGCACACATCAGTATTATTGCTCACTTTATGCTTACTTACCGATCTCTTCCCCTCTCTCAGGGATAACATTATGACTGACATCTACGGCGCCAATCTATACAACCGCTACCTGGAGGAAAGAGCTGCTAGAAAGAACCCCAAAGCCGTCGCCAAGATGGTCTCCGCCACCGGGTCCACCACTGCGGTGCCCCAGGAGGAGGAGAGCGACAATCTGTGGGAGAGTGAGCTGGCGCTGCCCACCGCCACTTCCTGTAAGTCTGTCCTCGTCTGCACAGGGGTCTACAACCCCAACGAAGAGGTGCCGTCTGATGCAAACCACTGCATCAAAGAGACCGTGTTCCACGGGCACCGGGACTTCAGATTCGATCCTGCGCTGGTGGAGCCAGACCACATCGTGCAGGACGTGGACGAAGCTGTCGACTGCATCTTTGAGCAGGAGAAGTTTGTGCCTCAGTAGAGTTTTGAGCCAACAGGTTTTGTGTGATCATGAAGGTCCTGGTAGAGGGCAGGTGGAGCATTAACGCCACTTAATGTGTAAACCTGTAAGAGCCTAACACTGTGGACATTGTTTTACCACCTGACAGGGCATTGACAAAATATGGGTCATCCTCTAAACTTTCAACGTTGAGACAAACTTTAGAGAAAAGTAATCACGTAACTGTTACCGTCAACCGCTCTTTTATATTGTTTTTGTGATAGTCTTTAATTACCTGTTTTCATTAAGGAAAATTTTAAGGAACTGCCTTATTTGACCCTACTAAGTATTTTTTTAGATGATAGTAACGTTTTAGATAATTGCAAATCCTGAAACCATCCTATATTTATTACAAGACTTTACCAGTGTTTTTAAGAAGCATATTCAGATAACGGTCGACCTTTATTCTCAAGGTGAATTTTTATTATTGCATTTTAAGTCATTTGTTTACCCATTTATCCTGAAAAATCTATGCATGAATATGAGAGTAATACTTGTACTGTAAAGGAAACCACTGTTTGATGTGCAGTGTCGTCCTCTAATAGTACTGTCTGTCTGCATTTTGTCTAGTCGTGAGAGTCTTGACCAGTATTTGCACAGATCAGACTTTCGTCTATGTTAAATGTTACCATATCTTCCTGCCATGACCTGTTTATTATTACGTGGAAATTCATTTTTATGCTGAAATATTTCAATTCCAGAAGCAAAAGCTATGAAGACATTTATTTAGATGCAAGAACAATGCCAATCAAAAACTGTTACCGCTCCACATTTCCTCATTTGTAGTATTTCAATCATTGTAAATACCTTACTGTGACAAAATATAAGGAATAGTTACACACGTTTCGCAAATGGTTTGTGTGTGTGTGTTTTTTTTTTTCAATCAAAAAAGATCCATCAGAAATTGCCAAGATATTGATCACTGTAATCAGACAGCATTGTGTGGATTCTTCTACAACATATGCACCGTCTCTGTGCTTATAAACAGAAATGCTCAAATAGCTCAGTCCTCTGGTGCCAGATCAGGTTTTTTTTTCCCAAATTTGGCACGAACATCAACTTAAAGAATGAACTGATTTCATTTTGGGGGTAAAAGGTCAAGGTCACCATGATTTTGCATCCATCTCATTCTCATTAACGCGATACCTCAAAACGGCCTTAAGGGAATTTCTTTAAATTTGGCACAAACGTCCACTTGGACTCAAGAATTTACTGATTAGAATTTAGTGGTTGAAAGTCAAAGGTCACTGTGACACCACAAAACATGTTTTGGACAGAACTCAAGAATTCTTACACTAATTATGACAAAATTTCAAACAAATGTCTGATAGAATAAAATAATGAAGTGATAAACATTTTATCCAAAACGTCAAAGGTCAGCTTCACTGTGAGCTTCTGGCCATTATTTAACGTCATATCTCAGGAACAGAAGAGGAGACATTTGCTCAGCTATTAACTGGTAACACTAATCTCGGGTGTCCACCTTGAAACTGTGCTGATTGTATAGATCTTCGCTGTGTGAAGCCTCCATGTTTTCACATGGACACAGACTGTAAGAGGAGTTTGACTGATGTGCGAAGGCATACAACTGCAAGGTGGTGATAATACGTTAATTCTTTATTTTGGACAGCAGTTTATATTACAAATAATAAACAGCAGGACAGAAGCAATTTCTCCTGCCATTCACTGATTTTTTCTAAACTTTAAGAAAATGTGTACATTTTGGGAGAGATAGAGTGCACACAAGAGCAAAAAAAAATTCGTCAGGGAGAAACTTGAGAAAAAAAATAGAATTATAGGGTCATTTATTCAATACCTTCACAAAATCTGTCTGTAAGGTCCTTACATATAAGAGCTATGTCCAGTAACTTTTTTTGTTGGTAAAAACAGATAAAAGTACATTGCATTCACTGAATAAATACAAAGATGGACATCTTCTCATAATTACGAGATCTTTTCTCATAATTACAAGATAGTATCTCAAAAATACGAGATATTTCATAATTACGAGATTTTTTAACATAATTACGAGATACTATCTCATAGGTACCAGATATTTCATAATTGCGAGATATTATTTCATAATTACGAGATCTTTTCTCATAACTACAAGATACTATCTCATAGTTACGAGATATTATTTCATAATTGCGAGAAATTATTTCATAATTACGAGATCATTTCTCATAATTACGAGATACTATCTCATAATTACGAGATATTCCATAATTACGAGATCTTTTCTCATATGAGATACTATCTCATAGTTATGAGGTTATTATTTCATAATTACGAGATCTTTTCACATAATTACGAGATACTATCTCATAATTACGAGATAGTATTTCATAATTACGAGATCTTTTCTCGTAATTACGAAATAATAACAAGAGTTGGCGTACTCGGCCCGGAGGGTTACCGGGGCCCCGCCCTGGAGCCAGGCCTGGGGCTGGGGCCCGTGGGCGAGCACCTGGTGGCCGGGCCTTCGCCCATGGGGTCCGGCCGGGCCCAGGCCGAACCAGCTACATGGGCTCGTCCCCCTGCAGGCCCACCACCCGCAGAGGGATCCAGAAGGGTTTGGTGCAGTGTGGATCGGGCAGCAGACCAAGGCGGGGCCTTGGCGGTCCGATCCTCGGCTACGGAAGTTGGCTCTTGGGACATGGAATGTCACCTCTCTGGAGGTGGAAGGAGCCGGAGCTTGTGGAAGAGGTTGAGCGCTACCGGCTAGATATAGTCGGCCTCACCTCGACACATAGTTCCGGCTCTGGAACCCAAGTCCTTGAGAGGGGTTGGACTCTCTCCTTTGCTGGAGTTGCTCCGGGTGAGAGGCGGAGGGCCGGGGTGGGTTTTTTGATAGCCCCCAGACTCTCTGCCTGTACGTTGGGGTTCACCCCAGTGGACAAAAGGGTTGCGTCCCTGCGCCTTCGGGTCGGGGAACGGGTCCTGACTGTTGTCTGCGCTTATGCGTCGAACAGCAGTTCAGAGTACCCGCCCTTTTTGGAGTCCCTGGGATGGGTGCTGGACAGTGCCCCGACCGGGGACTCCATTGTTCTGCTGGGGGACTTCAACGCTCACGTGGGCAATGACAGCAGGACCTGGAGGGGCGTGATTGGGAGGAATGGCCTGCCCGATCTGAACCCGAGTGGTGTGCAGTTATTGGACTTCTGTGCGGGTCGCAGTTTGGCCTTAACTAACACCATGTTCGAGCATAAGGATGTCCATCGGTGCACATGGCACCAGGACAGCCTAGGTCGCAGGTCAATGATTGACTTTGTAGACGTATCATTTGACCTGCGAGCATATGTTCTGGACACTCGGGTGAAGAGAGGAGCAGAGCTGTCAACTGATCGCCACCTGGTGGTGAGTTGGATCAGGTGGCAGGGGAGGACGCCACGCAGACCTGGCAGGCCCAAACGAGCAGTGAGGGTCTGCTGGGAATGCCTGGCGGAAGAACCTGTCAAGATGATCTTCAACTCCCACCTCCGGGAGAGCTTCGACCGCGTCCCGAGGGTGGAGGGGGACATTGAGTCCGAATGGGCCTTGTTCCGCTCTGCCATTGTCGAGGCGGCTGTTGCGAGCTGTGGCCGCAAGGCCGCAGGGGCCAGTCTTGGCGGTAACCGTCAGGCTGAAGAAGGAGGCCTACAGGGCATGGTTGGTCTGTGGGTCTCCAGAAGTAGCTGACAGGTACCGGTGGGCCAAGCAGAGCGCAGCAGCGCGGAGGCAAAAACTCGGGCGTGGGAGGAGTTCGGTGAGGCCATGGAGAAAGACTATCAGTTGGCTCCAAAGAGGTTCTGGCAAACTACCGGCTCCTCGGGGGGGAGGCGGCAACTTGCTCACACTATTTACAGTGGGGGCGGGGAGCTGCTGACGTCAACTGGGGACATTGTCGGGCGGTGGAAGGAATACTTTGAGGAGCTCCTCAATCCCACCAACACGTATTCCAGTGAGAAAACAGAGCCGGGGGTCTCGGGGGCGGGCCGTCCAATTTTGGGGGCAGAAGTCGCCGAGGTAGTGAAGGAACTACGCGGCGGCAGAGCCCCGGGGGTGGACGAGATTCGCCCTGGATATCTCAAGGCTCTGGATGTTGTAGGGCTGTCCTGGCTAACACGCCTCTGCAACATTGCGTGGACATCGGGGGCAGTGCCTCTGGAGTGGCAGAACGGGATGGTGGTCCCCATCTTCAAGAAAGGGGACCAGAGGGTGTGTTCCAACTACAGGGGGATCACACTCCTCAGCCTACCCAGTAAGGTCTACGCCAGGGTGCTGGAGAAGAGGGTCCGGTCGATAGTTGAACCTCGGATTGAGGAGGAGCAATGTGGTTTTCATCCCGGACGCAGAACCGTGGACCAGCTCTTTACCCTCGCCAGGGTGCTGGAGGGGGCATGGGAGTTCGCCCAACCAGTCCACACGTGTTTTGTGGATTTGGAGAAGGCTTACGACCGTGTCCCCAGGGGCATCCTGTGGGGGGTGCTTCGGGAGTATGGGGTTGGTGGCCCTCTGTTAAGGGCCATCCAGTCCCTGTACCGAAGGAGCACGAGTCTGGTTCGCGTGGCTGGCAGTAAGTCGGACCTGTTCCCAGTGAGGGTTGGACTCCGCCAGGGCTGCCCTTTGTCACCGGTTCTGTTCATAACTTTCATGGACAGAATTTCTAGGTGCAGCCGAGGGATGGAGGGTGTCAGGTTCGGTGACGGGAGGATCTCGTCCCTGCTATTTGCGGATGACGTGGTCCTCCTAGCTCCATCGAACAGTGACCTCCAGCTCTCGCTGGGACGGTTTGCAGCCGAGTGTGAAGCGGCTGGGATGAGAATCAGCACCTCCAAGTCTGAGGCCATGGTCCCCAGCTGGAAAAGGGTGGATTGCCCACTCCAGGTCGGGGGGGAGGTCCTGCCTCAGGTGGAGGAGTTTAAGTATCTCGGGATCTTGTTCACGAGTGAGGGTAGGATGGAGCGGGAGATTGACAGGCGGATTGGGGCGGCGTCAGCAGTGATGCGGACGCTTAACTGGTCCATTGTGGTGAAGAGGGAGCTTAGCCAGAAAGCGAAGCTCTCGATTTACCGGTCGATCTACGTTCCAACCCTCACCTATGGTCACGAGCTTTGGGTAGTGACCGAAAGAACGAGATCGCGAGTACAAGTGGCCGAAATGAGTTTCCTCTGCAGGGTGGCTGGGCTCAGCCTTAGAGATAGGGTGAGGAGCTTGGACATCCGGGAGGGACTCGGAGTAGAGCCGCTGCTCCTCCACATCAAGAGGAGCCAGTTGAGGTGGTTTGGGCATCTGGTAAGGATGCCTCCCGGACGCCTCCCTTGGGAGGTGTTTCGGGCATGTCCAGACCTCAGGGCCGCCCCAGGACACGTTGGAGGGATTACATCGCCCGGCTGGCCTGGGAACGCCTCGGGGTTCCCTCGGAAGAGCTGACGGAGGTGGCTGGGGAGAGGACTGTCTGGGCTTCTTTGCTGAGGCTGCTGCCCCTGCGACCCGGACCCGGATAAGCGGAGGACGACGAGACGAGACGAGACGAAATAATGTTTTGATGTTTTATTTGTTTAGTGAATGCAATGCACTTCCTGTAAAGTGAGTCCACCGAGAAACACAAGGACAGTACTTTGGGTCAACGTTTTTCAGAATAAAAGCATTATCTGTAGACTTCAGAAGTGCATTGCTGAAAAGATAATGTGTTGATTTTTTTTTAAAGAATGCGGTGTACGTCCATATAAAATATAATCTTTTCTGTAAAATAAATAACATATATGAGAGAGCGGGGTTGGGTGGGACATAACCCTCTTACTCACAGAAAAAATTGAAGAGTTATTAAAAGAATTGAATCCCTGAACAGATACAAGTGTCTGTTAACAATTAAAATGTAAAATGTTTGTAAAATGCACAAGGAGTGCATTTTCCTAACATTCAGCCTCCACAGAACAATTGGCACAAGAGAGATGCAAAAATATGTCAGGGGAAGACTTGAGAAAAAACAAGTAGAACAAAAATCAGTGAGGTTTGCTAAAAAAAAAGCAAAATTATAGAGTCATTCATTCAGTACCTCCACAGAATCTGTAACGGCCTTACACATTTGACCTACTTGGTCCAGGATTTAATGAAATCATTTTTCTGAAAACAAAGAGAAAAAGTAATCTTTTCTGTAACAAAAATATAATTTCATACATGTACATCCACTCCTGAATTGTTCAGGTAGTAACCAGCACCATGTGAGGGCTTTTTTATGAGAGGATATCAAGACAGAAAATCAGAAAATTAACATGTCCTAAAAATGATAAGGGAAACTGCAAGGACAGATGAGTGTTAAGGGAATACTTCACCTACAGTATAACCATTTGTATATTGATTAGTCATGCTGTGTTACCTTGACTTTTGTTTTTCTCCCATGCCCACATGGAAAACGGTGAACATATTGTTTGTTTTTTTTAATTAAGGACCATGTTTAACCACTACCAAGTCTCATTTATTCAGTTGAATGATCAGTACTTCCCAAACACATGCATTTTTTCGGGGCTAAAAACCTCAGGATTGTTGTCTGGTTTTGAAAAGAGCACAGAGAAGTTTCACTTTCAGTTCAGTTTTACATAACGAGGTTTTGATGAAATGCATGTTTGTAGTCCTGAACATACGACTGGATATATGTGACTTGGATTATACTGCACGAGTTTGTAAAGGAATGTTTTGATATAGTTTTGCTGTTGTTAAACGTCCCTGATCATTTGAAAAAAGAGGGAATGCCGCACACTCAGCTCCAAGTAAAAAAGGAATTTTATTTAGGACAACATTTCGGCACAGGGCCTTTGTCAAGTCTTAACACACATGGGAGTGGCTGATAAAGCCTTCTTTGAGCAATCAGCTCACCTGGTGTACACACCTGGTCTGCATTTGACACTAATCACCTGCGTGTTTGACAGCAGAGAAGTGAATAAATCAGCTGATTGCAAAACTCACATCAGAGATCAAACATCACAATCCATATAAATACAATCCTATCAAAATATCCATTTCAGAGAAGAAAAGGGAAGTATGCAATACAAAACATTCTGCACAGGATCCCAATGGACACAAAAAACACAGATTATTCCAAAACAAACACAATATACAATATTTATAAAAAAGAAGAACAGATCAGCTGCACATCAACCTATAAAAAGGCATCATTAGCAATATAAGCTGTACCTGGTCTCTGTCACTAGAACTGACACTATTTATCTAGAGCAAAAAGCTATAGAAAACATTTCAAATCGTAATCAACATTCAGACCATTTGGTGCCAGAGTGTTCAAATAGTGTATGTAGAAATGTTCTCTCCTAGATAAGAGGTTTTCTAAATTACCACCTCTTCTGGGAAGGGAAACCTTCTCAATACCTATGTATTTCAATGAAGCAATAGGATGATTAGCTTCCACAAAATGAGCAGCCACGGGATAATTAAGATTTTTGCATCTGATGGTACTACGATGCTCTGCGATGAGGGGTTTTTAATTCCCTGCTTGTTTTGCCTACATAGGTCTTACCACAAGGACAGGTAATCAGATAAATCACAGATTTTGTGTGGCAAGTGATGATCCCTCTAATGGGGATAGATTTACAAGAATGTGGATGTCTATAGGTACTACAGCGGTAAGTATAATTGCACTGAGCACAAGACCCACAGCGTCTGTTCCCATCCGGGATAGGTATAAGTAATCTTTGGCTAGATTCCAAAGTGGGGGCCAAATCTGATCTTACTAGATAGTCTCTTAGATTGCTACCATGTTTAAAAACCACAAGAGGGGGATGTGTATAAATTTGATGAAAATTAGGGTTGGACTGAAGGATGTGCCAGTGTTTCTTAATGGTACCTTCAATCTTCTCAGACTGTTTAGAATACTTGGTGGAAAAAATAATAGAAGATTTTTTATTTTTTACTTTCCTCTGAAACAGATCTGGTCTTGGTCTAGTGTTGATACGATCCACAGCTGAATTAATTTGAGTTGACTTGTAACCTCTTGCACCGAATTTTTTCTTCATCTCAGTCATGTTTTTATCAAAATTAAACTGTCTGCTACATATCCTCTTAACCCTGCAGAACTGACTGTAAGGGAGGCTGTTTTTTAAAGGGAGAGGGTGACACGAATCAGCTCTAAGTAGACTATTGTGTGCTGTAGGTTTAATGAAAAGGTCAGTGAAAAGTGTGTTATTCTCACGTATGATCCACAAATCAAGGAAACTAATATGATTGGAATCAAAATCCATGGTGAACTTAAGAAAATCAGAACAATTATTTAAATAGTTGAAAAATGTTTTCAACTGATCAACACTGCCTCGCCAGAGAACCCACACATCATCAAGAAAGTGTTTCCATACCACTATGTTGTTTTTGAAGATGGTATTATTGTAAATGTACATCTCTTCAAAAAAAAAGCCATGTACAAATAGGCAAAAGAAGGTGCAAAAGGGCTTCCCATAGCTACACCTCTGTTTTGGAGGAACCAGGAGTCTTGAAAAATGAAATAATTACATGTGAGAATTAATTTTACAAATTCTACAAGACAAGTTAATGAAGGAAAAGAGCTGCAGTCCCTTTTAGACAGAAAATGTTCCATGGCCATAATGCCTCCATCATGAGGGATAGAGGTGTAGAGGGAGGACACGTCAAAAGTAGCGAGAATCAGTTCATCCTCAGGAAGAGGGTTTAGAGAATCAGCAATAGATAACATGTGATCAGTGTCTTTGATGTAAGAGGGAGCCTGTTCAGCTAGAGGTCTGATGTGAAAGTCAACATATTGTGAGATGGATGACATCAGCGATCCAATTCCAGACACAATCGGGCGGCCAGGGCTTTTTTTTCAAACTCTTGTGGACCTTAGGTAGAGTGTAGAAAGTGGGGATTATAGGATGTTCAATTTTTAGGAAATCAAGTTCTTTTTTGGTTATTTCACCCACTTGAAAAAAATGGTCCAGAGTGTTGTAAACAGATTCCTTGAATAATTGTGTGGGATCGCTAGACAGTCTCTTGTAGAAAGTGTCATCAGAAAGTTGTCTTAAACACCCTTCAACATAGTCAGACTTATTCAAAACAACAGTAGCTCTTCCTTTATCCGCTGGTTTGATTCTAATAGAAGTGTCGGCTTGTAGATCTTTTAAAGCAGTAATTTCATCTGTTGTAAGATTACTGTAGGGATTACAATGTTGCTTGTTTTTTAACAAGGAAGACACATCCTGAGTAACCAATCTGCAGTATGTTTCAATTGAAGGGCTACGATTAATAGGGGGACTAAAATAACTTTCACATTGTGACCAATCGTGCACAAAGGGTCATTTTGTGGGTGTTTTTACTTCTTTCTGAAACTCTGCCAAGAAAAGTCTAATCACTGGACACTCCCAGAGTACATGCAAACTGTCTCTCGGAGACAGCCACACCAGTTGTGAGACAAATACACAGCATGCACAGAGTATCTGGACATTTCCAGTTAGGTTGCAGTCATTTCCTGTACAATTAATATCCAAAATTATCCTCAATATTCTTATATTTTTTAATGTTACTGTGTCAGTAGTGAACACATTTCTTGAGCTGAAACCCAAAATGCTAACGTAGGACACTTTTCAGTTGGATTGTGTATCATCTGATGTGTTTCCCTGGAAAAAACAATAGGTTGCACTGTAGGAAAAAATGGCAGTTGCCCAAGAGGACATCTCAGGAGACGTGGCCACAGTGGTTAGAAAAACAACAACAACAAAAACAAAGAAATCCTTGGCCATGTTACTGCCCTTTTTGCCACTTGTAGTCTTTCTAATTCCACTGTAGTAGGTCCCTCAGGTCGCCTTTATCTTTATATTGTGCTTCTTGTGCAACACATCCAGCACTTGTGGCAGTAACTCCATGTTGAGAAGAGGCTTTTCTAGATCCTCTGTACAAGGGAGGGAAGTGGTGCTGAAGTCTGAATCTGTGGTGAGCAGCCTCCTCCTGTGTTTGGGCTTCAGCGAGCACAAAGAGTCGGCCTCGAATCCTGAATGTCTCTCGTCTATGTACAGGATAAAGGTGGAGGTTCTGGCTAATCTCAAGCTCAACAGAAGCAGAACAACGAGGCAGCACAGCATCACTGCCATTATGGCGTCAAACGTCCCATTGGTACAGCTCGGTGCTGCACAGGAAGAAAAGAAGTCATCGCTGAGTTCAGTGATGGCTTTGTCAGCTACAGAGCTCGGACTGGCACAGATGGGCTCCTTGGGCACAATAGCCTTGTTCCCCAGCAACCAGTTCCTTAGGTACTGGATCCTGCAGTCACAGTGGAAGGGGTTCCCAGATAGAGAGACCTTTTTCAGTCTGACCAGTTTGTCAAACAGACCTGGAGACACTGAGGTGAGCTGGTTGTCCTGCACATGGATCTCTGTGGTGTCTGGGGGCAGGTGAGGCAGCTCCACCAGGTTTAAAGAGCTGCAGTTGACCTGCCGACCAGCAGGCAGTGGGGCCGAACATAGGCAGGCCTGACCAGTGGTGTGTGTGCTCGATGTGGCCCAGACAAGGAAGACAGCTAGGCTTAAAGTGGAGGGCATCCTGCAGGATCAGGACAAGGTTAGTCTCTATTTGCACTGTAATTTCCAGTTTGTGTAATAATGGTAACAGAGAGGATGCTTACGGTGTAACACTCAGCAAGTTGTTTCATTGGAGAATTCTAAAACCAAATTAAAATGTTAAAAAAAAATGGGCATTAATAATGGGAGCCAGAGGTACAGGTTGCCTACCCCTGATCTTAGTGATGGGGTTTCTCGTTCACCTGTGAGAGCCAGTTCTTTGGCTCTCGTTCACTTTGAAGAGCCGGTTCAAAGATGCGGTTCGTTCGTTCGTTCTTTTTTGTTTTGTTTTGGTTTTTTGCTGTGAGTGTGTGCGTGGCTGTGATCTGGATATTGTAGTGATGTGTGTGACGTTCACGAACGAGCCGAGTCTTTGAACCAGCTCTTTGAAGTGAACGAGTGAGCGGCTGCACTGTCTTTCTCCCTCACAAACTAGTCTCTCTCAACTTGTTCCGGATCAAATAATATGAAATTAATGGATACAGAGTAGGGACTGGCTTGTTCACTCTAAAGAGCCGGTTCACTCGTTCACTTCAAAGAGCTGATTTAAAGACTCGGCTCGTTCGCAAACGTCACATCACTACCTGATCTAGTGTGTAGGATTCAGTGACATCTAATGTTGAGGACTGCATATTGTGAAACGCAAATGGCCCTATCTAGAGTCAGTGGGTACATTCCAAATGTTATACCTTTTCTTTTTACTTTTAGTATGAACTGCAGCTGCCCTTTAAAAGTGCGTACTGTTACGTGCAGTATGGACACAATCGGGATATACTACTTCCTCATAACATTACACCCTGAACTTTGACCCTCTTGCTTTTATATCCATTACTTTGGAGATAAAACAAAGGCCACTTACGGAGTTCTCCAGAGACGGAGAGAGATCTGCTGTTATTACTTTGCAATGTATGTTTTTTAACTTCAAAGTTAAAACTGCACAGATTGTAGATTATTACATATTTTATTTGCGACAGTGAATGTAAACAATCAACATTCCTATTATTACTATTCAACTAGTCAGCAATTCCTTGAATGAGTTGCCATCTGAGCAGTCAATCAGCTGTCATCTGTTTGCGGGTCAGTCGATGTGACGCATCGTCCACAATGCAGAGGATTGTGGGTCAGAATAGACAGAAAAGCATGCTGGCTTGCACACTGCAAAATCGGACCGGATGTAGTAAAACATCCTGGTATTTTTGGCGTACTGCTTTTGACATACTATGTTTTGAGACATACTGAATCTTTGGCATAGGGATGTCACGATTATAGATTTTCTTGGTACAATTATTGTCAGAGAAATAATCACGGTTTTACGATTATCACGATTATTATGCATTAATTAATTTCACACTATAAATGTGTAAAATCACATGAATACTCCTTATAGATCTTTAAGTTTCATTTATTCCCATGCCAACATAACAAAAATAATATAGCACCAAAGAAAAGTAACCAAAAAGTACAAGATTTAATGACAATAATCCCATTGGAATTAAACAAAAATCACCTCTGTGTTAAACATCCACAGCAGGATTTCCCTTTTGGGAAAAAAAGGTTTCAAATGCTACATGTATTTCTTTACAGACTTTCTGTAAACTATATTACAAAAATGTTTCTGAACATTTCTTTTGGACCTGAGAAGAGAATTTTTAAACAGGAAAAAAAAAACATCTAGCTAGCTTTTGATTTATAGATGCCCTTTGAAACATAAATAATCCATACTTTATCACTCGGAGACGCCTATTCACCTGTACCACTTGTGTAACTTTATTTTCATTCTGTGAGAGTTGCGCTCATCTGCCTACTGTATATGGTTCTGCGTCCCAGCATAATCTTTGGAGAGTGACAGTGCTGAGGAATCTTTACAAATAAGTAACTGTGGCATTTAAAATCGCGGTTAATAGTGAAATCAAATAATCGTGTCATCCCTAGTCTGGCATACTATATAGTATGGTAGTATGGGTATTGTTACGCATAGAGTGTTTGGTTTGTCTGTTCTGGGCTACTGTAACAACATGGTGGACTCCATGGAAGAGCACCTGCTCCATATGTAGCTATAAATGTCTCATTCTAAGGTAACAAAAACACAATGATTCTTAGCTTCAGGTGATTATACACTAATGAAAACATTGTCATTTATATTATATCCAATTTCTGCCAAAAAATCTCGCTAATGCTGCATTCACATGAAATCAGGCAGTCATCCTTCTGGATGGTACAAGAAAAACAGACCAGAAACACACATGACGATATGTTGTGATGGTGATGCCACAGGCCATTATATTAATAATAATTTTGTGTAATTTTTCTACCAATGTCCAATGATTGTCCAGCTTGCCTGTGTTTTCACCTTGTGTGACAGAGCTACGTAAAATCCAGCTATAAACTCGCCCCAGAGGACAGCAAAAAGTTAAAATATTTTCACTTTGAACTGCAGTACTGTCCACCCGGCCTCACTTAATTTTACTGTACTGCTTTTGTTCACTTAACTGATATCAACTTTGCTGTCAACCATCTCCTTGATTCCATGTGAACGCAGCATAAATCCTACACACTGGACCTTTAAGCAACAACCAAAAAAAGGAATACAAACCTTTAAGAGTCAGACCAACTTGGAAGTTTCATCTGGTGTTGCCAGTCATCCTTAAAATCTCAACATATATTCCCTGTCCTAGTTCCTCTGTTGCATTTGAGCTTAAGAACGTTTCAAAAGTCCTCCTGAACTCAAGGTCTCCCTTGTTTGTAACTGACGTGTTATTAAACATAATAGTCGTACGCCCAGGACGGAGCAGCGTCAGTGTGAGGAATGCACCAATAACACCGCACGGTCGTGGCCTGTTTGACATGAAGGAAATCCATCTGCTCAGAGGAGATAAGAGTTTATCTGTTAGAAACAGTGGCGGAGTGTATCTGAAGCTCTCCCACACGGTGTTTATGACATCCACTGCAGTGCTGAGGGCACAGAGGGCACTTTACTGCAGAATACAGCTGGGAGCATGTACAGCTTTATGTGAAATTAAATTTACCTGTGAGATGTTTGAAATACTGAGTGAGCCAGAGGCTGAAGAGCGAATGTTTCTTAATGGAAACTCTGAGCTGCAAAGCAGAGTGGACATATATCCGGAAAAATCTACAAAGAAACAATTTAAGGAGGGTGTCTACATAGATTTAGATGCAGGAAACATGTCTGTGCAGGTGTCTGTAGAGGTGGGTGTGGCTAGTAGTCAGCTGCAGGGGAGAGGTGTGGAGGGATGGCTAATGAAAGTAGCACCAGGTGAGTTGATTGACAAAACTGATGCTGGTTTGTTCTGATTACAACTCTCCCTTTTCATGCAGCAGTGTGCTGGCCCTCGGAGGACTGTGGCCCAGACCAAGGATCAGGACACCGCCTGAGTTTATGGTTTAAGACTGAATGCGCTGGAGGAGCCAGGCAGCATTTTAGTATTGCATTTAGATGGAGTGCTGAATCTGTGCGTGTGTGCTGGGGAGCTCACAAGATGGCTACACTGACTTCTCCCATGAGCCATCATCCCACACCTCTCCCCTGCATCTGACTACTAACTCGTCCATACACATGTTGACAGTATGGACATACTATCAAATACAATAACAAAGAAACCTAACAATAGATTTACAGACGTTACTGACAAATAAAACACATTGGGTTGGAATGTATTTTGTTTTGCAGGATGATTCATATACTGTATACACACATTCCCACATTGTCACAAACTGGCTCAGTGAATGTGACAAGCAGGGAGTCCATGCAAAAGATTCACTTAAAACAAGCAGTATTTATTAAACCAAAATTAAATTAAACTAGTCCATACCCATTGAGAACAGCATACCATACCATGACTTAGTCATACCAAAAAACAAAACAAAAACAAACATTGGGCCACAGGGGGAGCCACAGCGATGGGTCGCATTTTAGCCATTTTTAAGCATTTTTCTGTTGTTATAGCGCCACCCAGTTGCCAATTAAAAATTCTCCAGTCACCTTGAGGCGTCCTGTTCTACATATCTACCAAGTTTAGTAAAAATCGATATGGCGGTCAGGCCTAGATAAGAAATCAGCTCTCTAGCGCCCCCATTTTGTTTGATGGGGTCAATAATGGAGGGGTCCCCTCAGATTATGTGTGGTCATATGCCTACAAAGTTGTGTGGTGATCGGTGAAACCCTTGAGATGTTATACACCTTTATGTGATGAGCCACGCCCTCTGCAATATTCATTGCCTTATAGAAGCTCAGTTTTAGTAAGTTTTCCAACTTTTGCCAAGAGGGAACTTTAGATATTGGTCCCTAGATTATGTTCACCGAGTTTCATGCAGATCGGTCAAACTTCCTAGGAAGAAATAGATTTTAAGTGTTTTTCAAAAAATTCAAAATGGCGGAAAATCTATATAACCGCAAGTTATGGGTTCTGAGGCAAATATGTTCCTCATGAGGAGAGGCATCTCTGTGCAAAGTTTCATGTCGCTACGACATACGGGGCATGAGATATGCCCATTCAAAGTTTGCAATTTCAGTCGGTTGCTATAGCGCCTCCCTTTGGCCAATTGATGTAATATTGCTTCATTCGCATCCTCCCATGACCCTCCACCACTGTGCCAAATTTCACATGGATTGACCAAGTCAGTGAGGAGAAAAACGTGGAACACACACACACACACACACAGATGGAGTTTTAGTCGTTATATAGTAAGATAACCAATGGCGTATGTGGGCAATGATGCCCAGTGGATGTCAGCTGAAGGAAGGGAGCACGCCAAGTGAACACATGAGGCAGCTTTTATAGCCTGGAAGCCCAGGTGAGCCTAATCAAGGTAACGACCCTCCCATGTCAGCCAACTGCCTGATGAGGCTGGCTGGAACAGACTCCAAGACAGTGGGAAGGGCGTCACAACATACATTTACATTTCTGTAGTTGCGTGCTTGCATTTACGTTTGTACCTGGGTTGTGGCATTAGCTCAAAGACAACAGAATAAATTTGAGAATCGGTGAATATATATTTTATTAAACTGTTCAAGTTCTGTTTTGTTCCATTGTTATCTGTTGTGTGAGTAAATCCAATCATTGTGAGGTGTTTTCCAGTAGTATTGTTTTCTTGGCAATAGTTAGGGCCTCCAGTAGGGGTCAAACATGTCGTATATCCAGATTGCCAAGTATGCAAGCCTCCTCAGTATTAAGAACATGTGTATTTGTCCTCCCCAAATAAAAACAGCAAAGCAGAAGAGGACATTTATTTTGACAGAATTGAAGACCACCATAAATTTCACATCTTTAACCATAAATTTGTGCAGAAACGGCAAAAATTGCAGCATAAAAATGAACCAGAATGCAGGAAATTGATGTTTAAAATGTCCCCAGTTTCAAATGTGTGTCCCCCAAATGCTGAAATAAGACCTACACCCTTGAGCGCAAGTACACCATAAAGTAACAAGACAACAAAATCAGTACAGCATAGTATTGCAATATTTTTTTCAAATTGTTACATTGATCATGTTTTTTTTATTTTATAAAAATTATTAATATTACAAATACAAATGTAACTTTTGGTCGCCTACTAAAATAGTACAATCAGTTGCTTTTTCAGTCCACCAGATACATGTTACTGCAACATGAACAGACCAAAAACTTTATTTTATTCAATAAAACTGTTGATGTTGACACAGTTTTCCTCCGGGGACATAATCTACCACTGAAAAAAGTTCATAAAGTATTGTGACAATATCATATCATGTAGGCTCTGGTGATTCCCACCCCTAAAAGACAGTTATACAGTAATGGCAGGTTTAAAGATTTGTAACATCAAAAATGTTCGTGCACAAAATTTGACTTGAATGAAATTAGATCAAATGTTTGTGGACTATTTCATGGCTCTTAAGGCCTAATATTTACAATTGAATTTAAGACATATGACTCATTAAGGACCTGCAGACACCCTGAATGTCACACACGTCCACAGCTGCAGAGAGGTGGTTTAAAGCTGAGCTATAGGAGTATGCACACTCACTTCCACAGGCTGAGGAGCTGTGTAGCAGGCACACTTTTCACCCATAGGTGGTGTCATGGCACAGATTTTCATTTTCACTTTATAGCACTTTAATGCATGCCCTCTAGTGGAAATGCTGCAACACTAAGTAATGGAAAGTAATGCTGGAGCCTGGAAGTGGAAAATACGGGAGCCTACAGATAAAAGCCTAATGTAAAATGCATTAAATAAAAAGGAGGAAAAAGGAGTTTAATTTCCCTTTAATTCACTCTGACAGCTGGCTTGGTAAGAAAGAACAACACGTGCGTACCATAAGTCATATATTCGTTTATTTTGCGTTCTCAACATTGTCACAGTTGAAGTTTTACAATAACTGGGGTCTCACTACTCACTGTACAAACAGAATGCACATATAAATGAGGCCATTCTTGTCTTTTCCTTTTTTTTGTTTTGTTTTTTAAATGTGTCTCACACCAGACTGAACAGCTTGCAGCAGGATGTGTGTATGTTTGTCTGTGTGTGTGTTGCATGTATGAAAAGAGAGCCGGATGTAGATGGCAGCGAACTTTCTTTTAACAGTCTGTTTTTTTGATTTCTACAGCAAATGTCAGTTCATGACAGCTGGAGGCAGAGACAGTCGATATGTTCGTGTATCACCCCCTCTAATCCATCTGTGAGGTGATGTATATACATCCTGATCTTAACTGCGGATATCAGAATAGAGTACTGATCCTATACACATTATGTACAGCTGCTATAACCCCCCGTCTTGGTCCCTTTACAGCTTCTTAAAGATAAACCCCTCCTTCCGAGCAGTTCATCAGCTTGCTCACCAAAAAAAAAAAAAAAAGAAGAATCCCATATTTACACAATGAAAGCCCTCGGCAACAGAAGTGCAATGTTCTTCAATGTTTGTATTTTACACAATGGCTTTGTTGATGAGATGCATGCTGAGCTTCAATAACTAACATGGAGCAACAAGAACACGTCAACACCAGGATATTCCAAATTAACCAAAACAATTTATAGGCTGATTCTTTTTTCCCCATCAGCTCACAGTGAATAGGACACATGATGATCCATGCAGTGCATTGTTGAGGAGGAGGAGGAGGGTGAGGGTGGGTGGGGGGGGGGGGACGTTCTCACAAAGAATGACCGTAGACATTTGAAGCACTACAACACACACCGAAATAAACAGATTCCTCGGTTTTACATCGTCCCAAGATTTCAGAATTATAGCAAAAAATATAGGAAATCAATGGAAAGACACATTCAACTGATCATTAACATCCCGTGACGTGATATGTCTGTCATCTGTTTCCTTGTTGCTTCACATGAGGAGAAATGTGTGAGAGTAAGCCTGACTTATGGCAATGGTTTTTTCTCTGTGAATGTTAAAATACATTTACAACCTGAATATCGGGACAAACAGTTTACTGTCACTAATTTACACACTAGAATAGACTCTTATTTGTAGAATGTAGAAAGTTATTCTTTACATATACCCAGTTCCTTTGTTCAGTTTGCATTTTGTATATTATAACTGCATTTCCTGAAAAAAATGAAAGTGTTCTTTCATATGTGCTTATCCAGCAAAATATTTCTGTTCAGCCCAAAGAGAAGCATATTCCTTTTTATTAAAATATATACACACATTCCTCTTTCCACTGTGAACTGTGTAAGTAAGTATTTATATATTCTTAAATGGAAAAAAAAGTTGTTTTTTTTCACCTGAATCTCATCCTGGTCAACAAAATAACAGACTTCCTCTTTGAGTA